CAACGATGCTGTGGCTTTATCTAGTGTTAAGGAAGAGCAGCTCTCTGTGCTTTATCAGAAGTGGGTTGGATCTGAGATATGGGAGATTTGGGTTACGAATAAGATTGAGCCCAACACGGTTTCCTGGAGCAAGTTTTTGAGGGTTGATATGAGTATGACACCACTCACTCGTGTTCTGCTTCACTATAATGACGGCGACGCTAGGAATGTTTTCATTGATGAGGAGAAGAAAGTCTTTGTGGTTTTCGATGAAGATGAAAACGTAAATAACTCGATTATAACAGCTTACATCATTGGAGAAGATGGTACTTACATGTCTGTGAAAGTTTGAGAAATTCAGACTATTTCCAACAGTGAACCGTTCTTAGGATTATTTTAAGTATTTTTTCTTTTTAAGAAGAGAGAATAAATTTTGATTAAAAGGAAAATAATAATTCCTGTCCAATCAAAATAGAACACATCCCTTATGAACTCTTCTCGGGTTCTTAATTATGAGACAGTTCATAGTTTTTGGATTTTTTTAACTTTTTTTAATTTATTTTGTATATGTTAATGGGCCAAGAACTCCTCACAAACCTTTGATGGAGATGCTCTAAAGCTCAAACTTTATACTTAGTCTCAACTAAAGCTCAATTTAATAGCGAAATACATCTTTTTCTGGTTTTCTTTTTAAACCAGATAACAACTTTCCAAATTGTGTGTTCATAGAAGAAGATGGAAAAAGACTTATAATTGGGTAATCTTTATGTTTAAAGAGCATGAAAAAAGAGATGAAACCAAACAAAACTTAGAGGTCAACGGAGTAATATGGTTCTCATGCAGGTTGGTTGATCTGCACTGAACTTGGAACATAAGAGGTCACATGCGGTAAATGAATATCTCTGTCTCGTTTCAGATTACTTCCGAGATCCACTTGGCTGAAGCAACCATTTGCTCCAATGAAGTAAGCTGTGTTGCGATTGGTTTGGCATTCATCAAAAACAACGACGGCTTTCTTCTCCTCGTCGATGATGAGGAAACTCCCACCACTATAGAAAGGAAACCGGGTGAGTGGTAGCATATCCAACGCAAAGAACTTACTCCAGGACGCAGCATTGGGAGCAATCTTGGAAGTAACCCATATCTCCATCTCACGTGAATCACAGTTCTGAAACAACGCAGCTGCTCTTCTCTAACACTAGATAGAATCACGGCATCTTTATAGTAAGGCCTAAAGGGCAGAGGCATACGTGGAGCAAACCGCTCTGCTGTGAAATCAAAACAGAGTAAGAAATCAGTGATGTTCTCTCTTGAATCCTTATCTTCAGCATACCAGTACGTATTTCCCTTGAGAGACACGCCACAGATATGCCAACTCATGGTCCAGTCTGGAGTGACATCAAGAACTTGAATTTTTTTTTTTTTTGATAAACCCTGATCCGGTTGGTCTCGGTAGAAACGCACCAAAGTGCTATAGTGTGGACTTCTCCCTGGTTCAACGGTTCAACGGACACCATGAGCTTCGAGCGAACTCGAGTCAACGGGCCATGAGATCCATGAGATCCAAATGGGCCACCACACTACCTGTCCCGAGTTTGAAATGCCTTCCGACTAATGCCAGGGGTAGCCAGATAACCTGTTACTAGACTACCAGGTAAACTGCTTGGACCTTTGGCCCAAACCCAGACTTCCCACATAATTGTGTTTTTGTTTCCAGGGAAGATCGAACCTGGGTGAAGTGGTGTAACACCCCACACAACCCTTCCCTACCACTGGACCACAACGATGCGGGCAACTCTCCATGAATTAGAGTTTACATTGTAGATTTGGAACAAAGATTCATGTGGGGGCACATTGAAAAATCTCAAGATCTTATGGGTGCTCTTGTCGTATCCAAGAGCATAATTATACCACATCGTGTGTGGGTCCTATTCCCTTGTGGTGAGCAGAGCCGTGCCTGAGCACAGGCTAATGAAGCATGTGCTTCAGGGCCAGAGGAGTTAAATATTTTTTTGGGGCCAAATTTCCAGAGTTTAAGTTAGTCCAAGTGGTTTGTGAATAGGTGAAAACATGTTTGGTTAGTGAAAGAGTTTTAAGGGGCCAATTTTTTTTTCTCGCTTGTAGTTAGAGAAATCTCAGGCACGACTCTGGTGGTGAGTGGGTAATTCGACGCAAATCCACCTAGTCTCACCAGAATAAGGGTTCCAAATCACGAGCCTAGTGTAGTCTTCCGTGATGCATAACAATAAACTATCACAGTGATAAACTCGAGTGACATCGAGTTTATCTGAATAGTTTAGGCTAACAAGATTGCCTAATGGAACAATTTTGTTGTGTACATTGACGCTCATCAGATGAAGCTTACAATTTATCAACACAACAGCCAAAATCTTCCCTTCCCTTTCAGCTGCTGCCGTCTGAGCAATGTGCTTCTTCGTAAAGGTCACATCTTTGAATAAAGTCTTCCACCTTTATTCCACTTTGAATAAAGGTCCCTAATGTCACCGGGACCCTAGAGAGAATCTGATCATCCACCAATTCCCTAGGGAGATTGGATATCCTCGTCATTAGGGTATTTTCACGTTTCAACAGGAAAAAATTAGGGTGTTTTTTTAGTTATTATAAAAAATTATGGTATCTTTTTTTCTAGTTAATATAAAAAAATAATGAAATTTATATATTTTGTTATATTGTATTAGGCTAAAATGATCTAAGTTTAAGATGGATATACATATCCGTGCGTGCATGCATGTATTTGTTAAGCCCATTAGACGTGTGTTGGCACATAAAATGAATGATGGTTATTAACATTTTAACTTGATCTTCTTCTGTTATCCGATTGATGCAGACTCATCGATTCAGCTCACTGTGAGAATATTTTGTGTCACTGTGTTTTCTATGTTAATTGGTATTTTTGATTCGATATTATTTTGTGTTAGGTGATCTCCAATATTGCACTGCTTTCTACTGCAGCGTTTGTTGAAACTTAGAAACATGACGACGAGGATGTGTGATCTACCACATGATTTGGTAGGTGAGAAGATACTCGCCAAGGTTCCGACAACATCTCTGAGAGCAGTGCGATCTACTTGCAAATTATGGAATGATTTATCCAAAGACATGATTGTTGGTAAAGCAACATCAATGCAGCATGAGTTTCTAGGGTTCATGACCTTGTGTAATAAGGTTTGTTCCTTGCGATTCAATCTCCAAGGAATCCACAATCACGACCACTTTGTCGATCCATCTGTAAATAAAGTAGCTTTACTTGATCAAGTCGAGATATCTAGTCTATTTCACTGCGACGGCTTAGTCTTTATGCGTCACCAAAGACAACTCGAGGCTTGTTGTGTGGAACCCGTATTTGGGGCAAACAAGGAGTATCAGACCGAGAAACTATTTTTACGAGTCTGACGTTTATGCTCTCGGATACGACAACAACCGTAACCATAAAATCTTGAGACTTTTAATTCTTGGCCGAGTCATTGAGTTTGAAATCTACGATTTTAGCTCTAGCTCATGGAGAGTTCTTGACGACTTGACGTCACTCCAGATTGTGAGCCTATTATCCACGCGGCGTAACTTTGAAGGTCTTTTTGAATCCTGTATCTGGAAAGCTTATATTAGGGCTTGAAGATTTTTGCTCTGTTTTGATTTCACAAGAGAGAGATCTGGACAGCGTCTGTCTCTGCCGTATAACTACTCTTATGCTTACAAGAGTGTGACGATATCTTGTGTTAGGGAAGAGCAGCTCGCGGTGCTTTATGAGAAGTTGGATCTATTGGAGATTTTTGGGTCACGAATAAGATTGAGCCCAACGCAGTGTCTTGGAGAAAGTCTTTGAATTTGGATACGTCACCACTCACTCAATCTCTGTGTAGAATTGTAGGTGAGAGCTTCTTCATTGACGAGAAGAAGAAAGTCGTTGTGGTTTTCAATGAAGGCGTGTCTTACATCTTTGGTGAAGATGGATACTTGAAGCCTATGAAAACTCAAGAAAGTGGTGCTGTTTTGAACATCTTTCACTCTATCCCAGTTGTTATTGTGTCCTTTTTTTATCTTCCAAGTCTGGTGCAAATCAAGAAACCATGCACGAAAGAAAGAGATGCTTAATTTACTTTATTAATTGTTTTCTTGCATTCTCGACTTTTCATTTTTGTTTTTTTTTTCATGTCATTTTGACACACAGACAGGCCAGGGATTCCAAAACTCTGTTATATTAACTCTAGAATTCATCAAACTTAAAACTCACCTGAGCAAGAACCAGAGAAAGTAGAGGAGATGGCTTAATTTGAGACCGTAGACCGGAGGAAACTGGTTAAACTTGTAGATCGAAGAGTTGAAATTTGTGTTGATAAAATTGCAAACGTAGAATAGAAGCATGTAAAGAATTGATTGACCAAATTAAAAAAGAAAAAGAGGAAACAAAGGAGAATAACAAAAAAAGTGTGAAAGCTCAAAACTTTATTTTTGGCCAGCTAGTAAAAAGCTCAATTTTATAGAGAGACTACACCAATTGGCAATGTTTTTTTCTTTAATTAAAAAAAAAAGAAAGTTTCAATATTTTGTAATACATATCAGGGTAAAAAAAATGGCGCCAATTGGCAAATTAGCCCAACTTTATTTAGATGCTAATTAATTTTAAATGATTAAACGTCTTACATGACTTGATGGAGAAAGTATGGTAATGCTTAGGAGGCAAGCAAAAATCTGCCGATGGTTAGAGACAAAGATTATTAATGTGTCACTACCAACTGAAACTTTCCTTCACTTTCCCGCAAAATCTTTATCTTGCCAACGAAACAGAGTGTTTGTGTTAGAAGAAAAAAACCTGCGAAAGAAACTTCTCAGCTTCCGATTATTTCACCAATCCACCAAACTTTTTTTTAAAACCAAAAATCTCCTTTTTTTCCCCTCTTACAAAACACCTCCATGGCTTCTCTTATCCAACCAAATCTCAATCCCTAATTAGGGTTTTTCCTATTTCTTTCTCTTCTTCCCAAATCTAGGAGGAATTGAAGATGATGGAGTCAAGGTCTCCGGTTTGCAATACTTGCGGCGAGGAGATTGGTGTAAAATCAAACGGCGAGTTCTTCGTTGCTTGCCATGAGTGTAGTTTCCCGATCTGCAAAGCTTGTCTTGAGTATGAATTCAAAGAAGGTCGAAGAATCTGCTTGCGTTGCGGCAATCCCTATGATGGTATAATCAAGATTTCTGCAAATGGGTTTCCATAAATTTGCAATTTTTTTTTAAGGGTATTTACAATTTGTGTTTTTTTCTTTCTTGCTCAGAGAATGTTTTTGATGATGTTGAGACAAAGACATCTAAAAACCAATCCACTATTGCAACACATATCAATAACACTCCTCAGGTGTGTGCTAAGATTAGTTCCGTTGTATAAGTTTATGTCTCAATTAGATTAGCAAAACGGATTTGGTAAATGGTAATTAACTTTCCTTGATTTTTCAGGATTCTGGAATTCATGCTAGACATATCAGTACAGTCTCCACAATTGACAGTGGTAAGAACTAAGAAGCAAACCCAAAAGTTTTCTAACTTTTTAACCTTTGATGAGGTTAAATAGTTTTAACTAACTTTGGGTTGTAATTTCTTGTTGAAGAACTTAATGATGAATATGGAAACCCGATATGGAAGAACAGAGTCGAGAGCTGGAAAGACAAGAAAGAAAAGAAGAACAAGAATAAGAAGAAGAAAGATGCAAAGGCAACCAAAGCTGAAGAACATGAGTCTCAGATTCCTCCTCAGCAGCACATGAAAGATATTCAACCGTAAGCACATTCTCCCACAAATCGAATATAAACGGTTATGCTTTGGTGAAATCTAGAAAGTTTGAAACTTTTGAGGTAATAATTGTTGATCTATGCCATTTTTCTTTCACAGGAACACAGAGGCTGCTGCTACAGACGTGCTTTCTGTTGTGATTCCTATCCCAAGGACAAAGATAACTTCATACAGGATTGTGATCATCATGCGGTTGATCATATTGGCTCTGTTTTTCAACTACCGTATCACGCATCCTGTCGATAGTGCTTATGGTCTATGGCTAACATCTGTGATATGTGAGATCTGGTTTGCTGTTTCATGGGTATTGGATCAGTTCCCTAAATGGTCTCCTATCAACAGAGAAACTTACATCGACCGTTTATCCGCAAGGTACAAAATATATCAGAACCATTATATACTTGCTCCGCACGGTAGTATTCAAGTCTTGTGAGGATCATTGTCAAAAATTCTGCAGATTCGAAAGAGAAGGAGAGCAATCTCAGCTTGCAGCTGTAGATTTCTTTGTTAGTACTGTAGATCCATTGAAGGAGCCACCTTTGATCACTGCCAACACAGTTCTTTCGATCCTCGCGCTGGATTATCCGGTGGACAAAATCTCTTGCTATGTATCTGATGATGGTGCTGCGATGCTTTCTTTTGAGTCTTTGGTTGAGACAGCAGATTTTGCTAGGAAATGGGTACCTTTCTGCAAAAAGTACTCGATCGAGCCACGAGCTCCCGAGTTTTACTTCTCGCTTAAAATCGATTACTTGAGGGACAAGGTTCAACCTTCTTTTGTGAAAGAACGTAGAGCTATGAAAGTAAGTAAGCAAGGGTTTGAAAATCCTCAGTTGATAACATTTATCCGATATACTGGAATCGAAAAACTTAACTCTAATGTCTTCTGTTGTCTAGAGAGATTATGAAGAGTTCAAGATTAGAATGAATGCTTTAGTCGCCAAGGCTCAAAAGACACCGGAAGAAGGATGGACAATGCAAGATGGAACCTCTTGGCCCGGAAACAATACTCGTGACCATCCAGGGATGATTCAGGTTTGTTATCTAAAACATTTGACCTGATTCTTTACCTATGGTTGTGTCTTCCATTAAAACATGTCTTGAGAGAGTTTTCCTCTGAATCTTTGACCTTCTTTTGCAGGTGTTTCTTGGATACAGTGGTGCTCGTGACATTGAAGGAAACGAACTTCCAAGATTAGTTTACGTCTCTAGAGAGAAGAGGCCTGGCTATCAGCATCACAAGAAGGCTGGGGCAGAGAACGCATTGGTAAAAACTTCAAATTCTCGTTCTTTTTAAATTGAAAACTTTAACACTAAATGTTGTGACACAATCCTAATGAGTTTGCTCTTTGTATGTAGGTGAGGGTTTCTGCAGTTTTAACGAATGCTCCATTCATTCTTAACCTTGATTGTGATCACTACGTCAACAATAGCAAAGCAGTGCGTGAAGCAATGTGCTTTTTAATGGATCCAATTGTTGGTCAAGACGTTTGCTATGTTCAATTCCCACAGAGATTTGATGGAATCGACAAGAGTGATCGATACGCTAACCGAAACATAGTTTTCTTCGATGTAAATTCCAAACTCATTTGCTCATTAACTCAAGCAAGTTCTTAGGCTTTCTCTGATTAATTGTGAACTTTGATTTTCAGGTTAATATGAGAGGGCTTGATGGGATTCAAGGTCCGGTTTATGTTGGTACCGGTTGTGTCTTTAGAAGACAAGCGCTTTATGGATATAGTCCTCCTTCTAAACCAAGGATGTTACCACAATCTTCTTCTTCCTCGTCATGTTGCTGCTTTCCAAGCAAGAAAAAACCAACACAAGATCCTTCCGAGATCTACAAAGACGCAAAGCGTGAAGAACTAGATGCTGCAATCTTTAACCTAGGTGACCTAGACAACTACGATGAGTACGAGAGATCGATGCTGATTTCACAAACAAGCTTTGAGAAAACATTTGGCCTCTCTGCGGTTTTCATTGAGTCTACATTAATGGAGAATGGAGGGGTTCCTGACTCTGTGAACCCATCAACGCTCATCAAAGAAGCTATTCATGTCATTAGCTGCGGATACGAAGAGAAAACCGAATGGGGAAAAGAAGTAAATGTTTTTTCTTCAAAATCAAAATCAAAGTTTTCAACTTTACCATCTCTTGTGGATAAATTCATAATCTTTTAACTCTGTTTTTTCGCAGATTGGATGGATTTATGGATCAATCACAGAGGATATTTTGACGGGTTTCAAGATGCATTGTCGTGGATGGAGGTCTATTTACTGTATGCCATTAAGACCTGCTTTTAAAGGGTCTGCTCCTATCAATCTATCAGATAGGCTTCACCAGGTTCTGCGTTGGGCTCTTGGCTCAGTGGAGATCTTCCTTAGCCGGCATTGTCCTCTCTGGTACGGTTGCAGTGGAGGCCGGCTCAAGTGGCTCCAGAGAATGGCTTATGTTAACACCATTGTTTATCCTTTCACTTCCTTGCCCCTTGTTGCTTACTGTACTCTTCCTGCCATTTGCCTTCTCACTGGCAAATTCATCATCCCAACGGTAACTTTTTCAAACTACTAAACTTATCAATATTGGTTTCATCAATCTAACTGATATATCTTGTTGCTATTCTTTATTGTAGCTATCAAACTTAGCAAGCATGCTGTTTCTAGGTCTCTTCATATCAATCATCTTAACAAGTGTCCTCGAGCTTCGATGGAGTGGAGTGAGCATCGAAGACTTATGGAGAAACGAGCAATTTTGGGTGATTGGAGGTGTCTCAGCTCATCTATTCGCAGTTTTCCAAGGTTTCCTCAAAATGCTCGCTGGTCTCGACACAAATTTCACAGTCACATCGAAAACCGCGGAAGATTTAGAGTTTGGTGAGCTTTACATTGTCAAATGGACAACTCTCTTGATCCCTCCAACAACACTTCTCATAGTTAACTTGGTTGGAGTTGTTGCTGGATTCTCTGATGCTTTAAACAAAGGTTATGAAGCTTGGGGACCTTTGTTTGGTAAAGTTTTCTTCGCCTTTTGGGTCGTTCTTCATCTTTATCCTTTCCTTAAAGGACTTATGGGAAGACAGAACAGAACACCCACTATTGTTGTTCTCTGGTCTATCTTGCTTGCTTCTGTGTTTTCTCTTGTTTGGGTTCGTATTAATCCTTTTGTCTCTAGGACTGATACGACCTCACTTTCACAGAACTGCCTTTTGATCGATTGCTAAGAGATGATGTTATGTATTCCTTTGAAGGATTAAATGATCTGGTTTTTGATTGTTTTGTAAATTTTTATTTCTTGTGGAAGACGTTTCTCTTATGGTTGCTTGATCCACAAATTAAGTAATGTTCTTGTTGCACAAGTTAGGTTTGAGGTTTCTGTTACTTCAACATGTGAAAATATTATCTTCACGTTCTTAAAAATCTATATATATTTTATCAGTTACTTTACAAATTGTAAATGCAAACGGAAATTGAGAAACACAAAAAAAAAGATATATAGACTATTGTGTAAACATAAACATGAACACATAAAATAACAATCATCCTTGATTTTTTCACTTGAAACAAAAGTCTGCAAGATGAATTATTTTAGCTCAATGGTTTGGTGGAATCTGTCTCATACAAAAAAACCAAAACCAAAAACAACAAAACTGAAATCAAAAGTAATCCAAATCAGATTCCATGAACAAAAGCATCAATGTCAGGCTGAGGAAGGTCATCAAGCAAAGAGTCAATGCTACATCCTTCCTCAAGCAGCTTCTCATTGAATCCAAAATCATCAGTAAACACACATTCAGGCACAATCCTGTCTCGTCCGTAAATCTCATCTTCTTTCTTTTTCTTCTTCTCCTCAACCGCCACAACATCCTTCTTCTTGTTACTCTCTTTGCGTCTACCTCTTGCAGGAACAGAGGAAGCCGACAAAGCTCCCAAATCCAAGCTCTTTATGTAATCCTGCAACAGAGAAGGTCTTGGATACTTAGATCTACACTTTCTCTTAGAGAATTGTCTTCGTTTTGTCGCGTTCCAATGGTTCTTGATCGAATTCTCTGTTCTTCCGGGGAGTCTTTTCGCAATCTCTGCCCATTTGTTTCCAATCTCTTTGTGAAAGTCTATCAACACTTTGTCTTCTTCTTCACTCCATGTTTCTTTCTGCAACAATATATTAATACTCTCTCAAAATGATCATTGAACCTTTTGTTTCCTTAATAATTAATCTCCATAACATGAAGATTAGCCACTAGTTAATACCTTAATGTCAGGTCTCAAATGGTTATGCCATCTCTCTCTACATTGCTTCCCGATCCTTCCAGGTAACACTTGAGCGATATGCGACCATTTCCTCAATCCATATTTCTCCACGAGTTGAACCAATATCCTAATATCAATAACATTATGATTTTTGATTGATAACATTTCAAAATTTTGGAATAGAACCGCAAAATAACTAAACGATAAATCGGATAGATTTGTTAGTAATCTTACATAAAAAAACCTTGTAATTCTTGGAATTTTGCCATTCTACGAGATTTACTTATTAATGAGACTCTATAACCATCAAAAACTAGCTTGATTATGCTCTATTGATATTTAGCTTTATGTTAATAACGAACCTGTCTTCTTCAGCAGTCCATTGTCCTTTGACTAAGGTTGATTTTTTCTTTCCTTTCCATGATGAAGACGATGACGATGAAGACAATTTTCTTGACAGAAAAGGTTTGTTTTTGTTGAAACTCAACGCTTTATAACAATCATTATCTGCAGAAACACATGAAACTTCATCTGGCATCACGAAGTTCATGGGCTTGATGATCTCTGTAGGAGGGTAATCAAAAGGGATCATCCTCATCATCATCATGTTGTTTTGTTCCAAGTCCATAGGATCATGTTCATCGACCGAATGAATCTCTTCATGATGATGATGATTACGTGTAAAGTATGGATTTTCCGCAGCTTGGAAATGATGATTCATCAAATGTGGCTTAGATTCATAAAAGTCGACCACGTTTCCTTGGTAAGAGCAATGCTCGAAAGGAGCATTGTTGATACAAGACGACATCGTTTGGATACCGATCAAAGGATTTGAAGATGCAGAGCCATGATGATGATGATCAAACTGATGTTCATGATCAAGATGGTGAAAATCTTGAAGAAAGCTTGTGGGCTTTGACTGGTCGACTACTTCGAATGGAAAATCTTCTTCTTTCATCAGTTCTTGATCACGTGTGAAGATGGTTTGGTTTAAAGGAACAAAACTACTCTCGTCGACGAAATTCTCCATTTTCTTGGAAAAAAAAACTAAATAATTAGTAAAAAAAAGTGAGGTCTTTTTGCGTTTTGGTATTGGCTTTGTTCTACCTCGTATTTGTAAGGTAGGAGAAGAAAGAAAGATATTTAATGTGTGTTTTTACTATACCCATTAATTTGCTAGTAAAAATCTAACGTTTGAGTTTGTTGGTAGCATTAGTGTCATTTAATTTGATTAATTAATTCTCAAATAAAAATATCATGTCTCAACATGAAATAAATTTCAAAAAAAATTTTTTTTTGACATAATAAATTTCAAAGTTGAGATTTAGTTTTGGTGAGAAAGAAAAAAAATCCAAGTTAGATTTTTAGATATATAACTAAATATAGCACTAAATATAGTTCAAGTTAATGGTTTCCTTTTAAAAAAAAAAATTAAGCTGTGTAATTTTGATGTAAATTAAATTTAAATAGACTGAAAATCAAGTAAAGGAAATGTCAGACAATAATTTAGCAGGAAAAAAAATGTGAGATAATAATCTCTGTCGACGTTACACATTGGGTGTTGTTGAATTTGGGGTAAACATAGTTGAATGTTTGTGAAACGCTAGTATGAATTGAATCAAGATTTTAATTTGTTAATTCATTTATTGTAAATATATATAGTGGTGTTTAGTTAATTTCTCAAAAAAATGTATTAATTGAGTCAACAAACAAAATGTAATAACTATTTTAATGCTAAGGAGTGTTTTGACCATTTAGCATTTTAGCTCTAAGGTCTAATTAATGGATTCAAGAAGAGAAATATCTTCTTATACACTCGAATTTTGCATTGGTAATTTCTTATAAGAGTTTGCAATAATCATTATAACTTAATTGATGGGATTAAACCTTAAAATATGAGTCTCATGGACCCATAAACCTAGCCCACGTGGTTGCTTCAGGCGCAAGTTATGTATTGCTACTTCTGTCTCGCACGAGAATCAAAAACGAATGCCTGAACCGGCCTGGAAAATAGTAGTATATGACATAACTCGATAATAACTGCATCTGCGTGTCTAAATACTTTTTGATAAAAAAAAAAAAAGTCAGTATGAATTATGTAAATATGTTTGATTTATAACGTGAGCATCAGAGCATGTGTTATGTTATACAGTAAAAGCACAGCTTATATCAAAGATTATGGGCAGCTAGATTTTGTCGAGAAGATCAAACCCTCTATAATATCTCTACTTTTAGATCGCAATGTCTTGATGTAAAATATTTTAATTGAAGACTACTGAAATAGGGTTGTATTCCGAATATTGAAACTAATTATTGTTTTTATATTCATACATTTTTTCGTTAAAATTTTAACGAAAGAATTCATTTTATGGGTTTAGACTCGGATGATAACATAGCGATACAAACCACCACAAACCATTAGACTATAACTATTTATCTACTCAATGAATTTTTAAAATAAGCTTCGAAAATATTAGTGGTCAGATACTCAAAAATACCACAAAAAATACATTTTAGTTCCAAATTTCAACTAGTGTATAAAAGCACTATAAATAACACGAAATCTAGCTAGGGTTGGAACAAAATTATTACTCTGATCTTCTTAATAATTATTATTCCAATCATCTCTATTTCTTTTTAGTCCACTAATGCACACCAATTGGACCCTTTCTCTCTTATGAAAAGAATCTACAAGCACAGAAACAACAACCTAACTACAATTAACCAATTTCATTGCTTTCTACTTGACATTTTTAGGGGGTCTATATATCTATGAAAACTTGCCTTTGCCTTTGATGGAGGCTCGTCCTGCCCTGTGTCTGGCATACGAGACCTAATAAGACCAATATCTCCTGAGCGAAAAGAAAAATACAAACATTGGGGTCAAAAACATGTTGTTGACTCAAAAATACATAGTTAAAATGTATCTGAGACAAGCTAGGCAATCATTGCTTGCTTGCTTACTGTTTATGTTCTCTAGTGGAGAGATGCGTGGTGAAATCTGTAATGCTTAGGCTAGTAATACGGCATGAGTTTCACGAAACCACGGCCGTGACAGATTCACCTGATTGATCATCAGTGCAGTACTTGTGAAAAACATATCATGCTTTATAACCTAAATTATCAAGAGATGCAAAGAAGTTGTCCTAAAAATTCAGTGGAAAATAACAAATTTATGCATGAAATTATGTGCATAAATTAAGGAAGGAGTTGTCCATGGAGACTAAAGGCTTTTTCCGGGCCCATGGAGACTAGGACCTCTAAATCCACAGAGACTAGAGCCTAGACCCGAACTTGGCAAATAAATAAAAAATGACATAATGTAAACGACATTAAATGGCATTTAATTAAAATGAATTAAGTGGGATCAAAACAAGGTCGTGTTTGAGGTTTTAGAGTTCCAGTTATCCTACTTTTCGTCCCTAACGTCGTACAGCTTGTACAGTTCGCCGTAGTTTTTGTATAAATTGGTTGTTTACCCAAAAAACTTAGTACGAGTTATTGAATGCTTCATTGACTCTTTAAAATAATCTTTTGGAAATGTAAATTTTGTAGTAGTTTTAAAAAAATTAAGATATTAATGGTAGTTCTTTTAGAAAACAAAACATAAAATGTGGTATTTTTCAGAATTGACCATATTAAATGTATTATTTAATTTGAATCCTAAAAAAAAATCAGTCTCTACATTTTTTTTTTCATTTTTCTATACTGTATTACACAACTAATATGTTGTTTTTAAATAGTTCGTTTCCACCAAACCTCTTTAATTAGTAGTAATGCATTATCTTTGAGTAAAAAAAAAAGTTTGTTGAGTTTACCTTTCTAAATAATCTGCATAAGCTATAGAAATATATGGTATTCGTTTTTTTCCCCCTAAATCTGAGTTCTGTACCAAAACTTTTACACGAACTTTATTTGTCATGTATGTGGGTTACCCAAAAATAAAAAATAAAGATGATTCCTATTGATATTCTTCTTGTCCCCACTCAATGCATAAGGACTGGACTGATGCTAACATCGATGAACTTTCTTTTACAAAAGTAATATTATTAGACTTAAATTACACGATCCCAATCCTGAGCATGAATCATCCATCCGCTGAAATGGCATTTGGTAAACGGATATATACCTTTGATTCTTTCCTTTTGTAGTTTTGTTAGAGTTTGAATGGTTAAAATGAAACAGAGAAAATGTAGTAAAATAGCAGCATACACGTAGAAAAATGAAATTCTTTTTTTTTTGAATGAATGAATTTTAAAAGTTCACTAACACCATCATATTTTTAAGTAATTTACAACATTTCAAAAAAAAAAAATCAAAACGAGTTTTAAAATAAGTTGTAGAAATTATTTTTGTAAACTTATAAAATCAACAAAATCTGCAAATTCCACACTTTTTCTTTCTCTCTTATTTCCTTCTTTTGATGTACCACAAACCATTTTTATTTTTCAGATTCTCCATTACATTTGTCCAAAAAGTTCAGAAGGTAACACATATTACATTTAAATCTAACGTATGTACAGCGGCAGAAACACAACAAAAGCATCACCATTCATCACTATCCACAAATGTTCAATTCGGTGAATGTAAAAAGGAAGAAAAAAATTGATGAAAGAAAAAGAATACAGGAAGGTCAAACTCGTAAATAAACCAAAATAGAAGACTCAATTTATTCAAGTCCCAACTGTCACATGACCCATCTTTGAAAAATGAAAAATCCAATCTTTCTCTTCTTCTCTGCTTCTTCTTCTACTTCTTCTTTCTCTTTTACTTTCTGACACATCCTCCTCTCTCTCTCTCTCTCTCTATCTTCACCATGAAACCTCCGTCACCGTCATTACCGTTACTCCTCCTTCTCCTCCTCCTCTCATCCACTATCTTCGCCGCTCCTTCCCTCTCTCCGACTCCTTCTCCGACCATCTCTCCCGTTCCTCGCACCTCTCCCACTCCTCGCACCTCCTCTTCCCCATTAGACCCAAAACAGCTCAAAGCCCTCGAATCTCTCAACATCCCCACCGCCAAAGATCCCTGCAACCACCGTCCCTCCTCCAAATCCTCCACCGCCGTCGTCACCTGCGACGCCGGCTCCCCATTCCGCCTCGTCACCTCCATCTCCTTCACAAACTGCTCCTCCGATCTCTCCATCTCCTCCACAGCTCTCAAAGCTCTCTCCTCATCTCTCACATCTCTCTCTTTCCTCAACTGCCCTTCTCTCTCCCCTCCGCCGCGTCTCCCTGAATCACTCCACTCCTTCTCCGCCGTCAATTCATTCCTCCGCCGCCGCAAAGGCCTCTCCGGAGTCTTCCTCGCTCGTCTCGTTAACCTCACTGATCTCACCGTCTCCTCCATCCCCGTCTCCACCTCCGGTCTCTACGTCATCCTCGGGAATATGCACGACATCGTCTCCCTCACCATCTCTCACGCCAATCTCTCCGGGAGCATCCCTAAATCCTTCCACTCCAATCTCACATTCATCGATTTATCCGATAATCTGATCAAAGGCTCAATACCCACTTCGATTACTCTACTCTCCAACCTAAAGTCCCTAAATTTGTCCCAAAATTCGATCTCCGGCGAGATACCCGACGGAATCGGAGACCTAATCTCGCTCAAAAACCTGTCTTTAGCTTCAAACAAGCTATCGGGTCCAATACCCGTTTCGATCTCCTCGATTCCAGATCTTACCCACTTAGATCTGAGCGGGAACCAGCTAAACGGCACCGTTCCGAGATTCATCTCCAAGATGAAGGACCTCAAGCACCTGAACCTCGCTAACAATGCCTTCCATGGAGTTCTTCCTTTCAATGCCAGCTTCCTCAAGAAGCTCGAAGTGTTCAAAATCGGCGGAAACAGTGATCTCTGTTACAACCACACTGTTCTGTCGAAGAAGATGAAATTGGGTATTGCTCCGTGCGATAAACACGGCTTGCCGTTGTCTCCGCCGCCGCAGAAGGAGGATTCGAATTCCGATTACGATTACGACAATGCAGATGATACTAGTGAGAAGAAGAAGGAAGAGCATCATGGTCCTAATAAGGTTGTGCTTGGTGTTGCCATTGGACTCTCTTCGCTTGTGTTCTTAATCATCTTCTTGATCCTTCTCGCCAAATGGTGTGGTTGATTCAATTTGTAGTCTTTTCTTATCATTCGTTAGTGAATACACAGGAAAAAAAAGGTAAAAAGCTCTAATCTTTGAGATTGATTAGGGTTCTTACGGGATGAAGAAGAGGATTAGTGATTTTTTCGGAGAATAACCGAACCGGTTCTCCGCACTAATCCCGGTTTAGTCTTGTATTTTTTGCTATTTTTTACTTTGATTTCACATTTGAGTGAGTATTATTTTTTATTTGTTTCTCCTTCCATTAGTCTTTGGTTTCTTTTCAGATTTTGTTGTACTTTTGAGTGTCTGTGCTAAAGGATTATTTTGTAATAATTATTGAATTATTCTTATCAATTATTTCTTCAACAGACAGGGCTCCTCATTAGTTGTTTAACTTGTGTTTATAGAATACTCTGCACATGCGGTTGAACATGCTTTAGCTGATCAAAACAAAAATTGACCTTGTTGTCATTGGTTCTTAGTACTTACCAAATTATATAATGATTGGAAAACTATAATAGGAACACTGAATAAATAAATAAAACCGTGTAACTGATATAACGTGGTTATGTTTCCCTTTGAAGCAATGATACTATCATGAAGAAATATAGCTCGGTACAAAGATCCAGCCTGTTCATGTTCTATTGCTTCAGATTTAATGATTTCATCATGACCGGTCCAACAGTAAACCGGGCTGGTAAGAACTATATAATACATGAGACATTTTTCAAATTTCACCAGAAACCTCTGCAAGAACAATGTCCATCCTTAAAATGGTGAAACCGATTTGAATCCCTTAAAACAATCTCTCTTCTGGTGAGCTTAGACATCAACTTAGCCATCTCATGACAATCTCCACACACTCTTAGATTTTTAGTAACTCGTATGATCTTTCCATGTCCTGAGCTAAGAATCCCCAATGCCATTGCTAATTTCTCACTATGACCACACAAAGCTTCTTCCTTCTCCATCTCTTCCGCATCGATCAATGCATATTTTGTCTGCGGCGAATATCCTTCTTCTCTCATTCTAGCTCTCACCCTCCTCAGAAAAGCTTCAATCTTTTCGGTTTCAGGATGTGAACTATCTCCAGCTACAAAGATGTTAACTTTACCCTTAATCTCTATCCAGCTACATCCCGGATTCTTCCTCAATCCTCGTCGACCTATCCTCTTTCTTAGCCTTTTCACTTCTTCCCATTTCTCAGCTTCTGCGTAGATATTCGCCATGAGCACATAATATCCTGTGTTATCTGGTTCAAGCGCAAAGACTTTCTCTGCAACTTTCTCAGCTAGCTTAACATCATGATGTATCCTGCATCCACACAGCAACGCTCCCCAGATTGTAGCATCTGGCGGAATTGGCATGTTCTCGATGAACCGATAAGCTTTTGACAAGTTTCCGGTTCTTGCAAGCATGTCGACTATACAAGCATAATGTTCTAGCGTTGGCTCGATCTTGCATTCGTGCCTCATGATGTTAAAGAATCTCCATCCTTCATCTACTAGTCCTGAATGGCTACAAGCATAGAGCACAGAAACGAAAGAGATTTCGTCAGGCTCGATACCTGCTTCTCTCATACGGTTGAAAAGAGCTATTGATTCTGCTCCAATCCCATGCATCCCATATCCAGCTATCATCACTGTCCAAGAAACAAGATCCTTGGAAGCAACCTCATCAAAGAGCAAGCGAGCGAGTAACAACGCTCCACATTTTGCATACATGTCTACAAGCGAATTAGCAACATGGCGATCTGAGAAATACCCGTTTCTCATGATGTAACCGTGGATCTCTCTGCCTTTGTCAAAAGCAGAAAGACTTGCACAAGCCGGAAGAACACACGCCACAGTTCTCTCATCGGCATTCAATTGCTTTTCTTCCAACAACAAATTGAACAGGCTTAGAGCTTCATTGGCGTAACAGTTCTTCGAGTACCCACCAATAATGGTGTTCCACGAGATAATATCTTTCACAGGCATCTCAGAGAACACTAACTCCGCCTCTTGCATGCTTCCACATTTCGCATACATATCCATCAAAGCATTCGATAGAAAGATATCAAATCCCATATCGTTTTCCTTTATCCACTCATGGACTCGCTTACCTTCTTCTAATAACCGATTACGAGCACAACAGTTCAAAACAGCAGTGACGGTATAAACATCAGGGCTAATACCTTTTTCCTCCATTTCTGTAAACAGCTTCACAGCTTCACCAGCCAAACCTTCCCTAGCATAACCAGCAATCATGGAAGTGTAAGACACAACACTTCGATCACTCATCTCCGTAAACACGGCAATAGAAGAGTCTAGATCACCGCACTTCGCATACATATCAAGCAATGTATTACAAAACCGTTCTTGTCTACCTAAACAAGCTTTCAGTCCAAGACTGTGAACGGCTCTACCTAAGGAGAGTAGACGTGAATCAGCACAGCTTGCGAAAACGCTAACTATGGTAGCCAGATCAATATCCATTCCCGAAGACAACATCTGCACAAAAAGTGATAGACCTTGTTCAGCTAATCCGTTTGATACATAACCATTAATCATAGAATTCCAAGATATGACATCTCTTTCAGTCATTTCATCGAACACTTTGCGTGCGCTTTCAACTCTCTGGTTCTTCAAATAAAACGCCACCAGAGAATTCGCCACAGAGTTGCAGTCTCCAAAACCTGATTTCAGAATAAACCCATGAAGCTGCTCTCCTCCGTTAACACTTCTCAGAGACGAAAAGCTCTTTGAAATGCAAGAAAATGTATAGCTATCCATTTCAACACCCGAGCTCAGCATTTTCTTAAACAATCCGATGCTTCCACTAAAATCACCAGACTTTGCGAGCTCATTCATCAAGATATTCCAGAACAAAGCTTTCTCGATCCTGACATGATCGAAAACTCGACCCGCTTCTTTCAAATCCCCACAATTCGTGTACATTAGCGCGAGTTTCGATCCCAAATTCGAATCTATCACGAACCCATTACCACGGATAAAGGAATCAACTTCTTTACCATACTTGAGAGATCTCGAATCCGCACAGAGCTGAAGAACAGAGCATAGAGTTCTCGGATCAATATCCCACTTCCCAGATACGCTAAGAAGTTTCACGGCGCTCTCCAGATTCCCTGCTTCGCAGAATCTCCGTAATCGAGTGTTCGCATCGGTTAAGCTTCGATCAAATGTTGAAATCGAATCCGCGTAATCTCTGTACTCGATAGACGCCGTTCTCAATGAAGCTTTACTGGAACGAAGAACTCTAACGTCGCTTCCGATATCCTTCTGGGATTGAAATCGGAGAGAGGAACAGAAACAGAAGCTCGACGAAGACAAATTCGCCACCAACATCGCCATTTCTATCTCACTCTACTCATCAAAGTGAGAAAGCGCGGGAAAACTGATTTGATAAAATGCTTCAGTAGAAAAAATTGTTTCCGCAGGTGACCACTTGAGAGCGATGTTATAAAAACTTCAAATTTTAGCCATTTATGGCCACAAGTTTCTGCAGAGCTGTAATTGGACGCGACATATAAAGGTGGCGTTTTTTTTTTGGCTTTTTGGTAAGGCCAAATAGAGAATTGTAGGAGGAGAATCAAGAGGGGGCTACGATTTACTTCATCGTTTGATTTGAAAATTCTGAGGTTCTCCAGGGAAGTCAGGAAGTAAAGCTATGGACTTGGCTCTTCATTTTCCTTGTGTTTACCCGATGATTAAACAAGGATTCAGGAGAGCCACTCATCTTCCTCTTCGAGGTAATCGCTATCTTAAAGAAAAAAAACATTAGGAGACTTGAGGAAACCATTCTTCTTCTGTGCTGCTTAACTGAATTTAGACAGATTGCAGATTCTCCTTCACCAAGCTTTGGTCAGAGTCTTTCAAGGACGGTATTTAATGGCGATAGAAGAAGCTGGCCTCAAGAAGATGCTTCTTCTTCTTCAAGTGGGAGATCCAAGAAAGGGTCTGTTTGTTGCAAGAAACGGTCTGATGAACGGAGCTCAAGCCCGAGTAAATCAAAGCAAGAGGAGATCATTTCTCTCTTCAGACGGATTCAATCTTCGATCTCCAAAGGAGATTCTCAGGGAGCTGAGGAGAAGAACCGCAACGGGTCTTCTGAGAGAGAGCCGCTGAGCAAAGCTATTCTTGACGTTCTTGAGAAACCAAGAAAGAAACCCGAGGGTAATCAACGATCCTGTGTCTAAATCCCAAATCCATGTTCTTGCAAGTAGTTAATAGTACAATTAACTCTGCGACTGTAGGAGATACTGGTGTGAAGTCGGAGCCACCAAAGAGACAAGGAAACGTAGCTCGGCCACCGTCTAGTGTTGCTAAGAGATCTCCTGTGGGACCTTCTACTTCAGGTCCAAGAGGTAAGCTTCCAATATCAAAGAGCGATAAAGCTTTGGAAGAAACAGCGAAGGAAGAAAAACCTCCATTGATAGAAACTATGAAACTTGCAGAGCTCAAAGAAGTTGCAAAGAAGAGAGGAATCAAAGGGTACTCAAAGTTGAAGAAGAGTGAGATTCTGGAGCTACTCAGATCACATTTTTAACTTTCAGACATACTCTCTTTGACATGCAAATCAGAGAACAATATATGACTTGGATTGTTTAAAGTAGAGAGAGTTTGAAGTTAGTAGCGATAAACTCCAAAAATTGTTCATATCTCGAGGGTACTTAAGGATTCTAAACCAGCTCAAGTCAAAAAGGTCACCACAACAAGAAATCTTTATCATCCAGAATCGTAAATGTAAGAACTTAAAACAGAGCTAAACACCACAAAACAAAACGAAAAAAAGCTTTTCAACCGGTGATGTTCTGGGACTTGTTGAGGATAACACCTTCATACTTAACTTGGAACCACTTCATGGCATCATCCTTTGTAACTCTATGTTGGATCCCAACACGAGCCTTGCATCTACGGCGACGGGCCACACGGTATCCAGGGCGTTCAAGAACCACATAGAAGTCCATTCCATAGATACCAGTAGAAGGATCGTACCTAAGATGGACACGCAGAGTGGTGAGAACAATCCACTGTTTAAAGACCTCATAATCAAATATGTTCAACCAAATCAGCAAATATAACCATATCACAAAACACTTACTTGATTCCAAGATCAATGTGCTCCTGGATACCGAATCCAAAGCAGCCAGTGTCACTGAAGTTCCTTCTCAACAGCTCGTATTCCTTCACTTTCAAGCCACTCTCAAGAAGCTGCATTGCCTTGTCGCCTCTCACGGTGACATAGCAAGCAATCTTTTCATTACGCCTGATACCGAAAGACCTCACAGTGTACCTCGCTGTTTCACAAAACACATATTGCAATCAAGACCACACTTCAACTAGAATCTTAAATTTACATACAGAACATACAAGAGATTCTGCCTGAAATATGTTCACATACCCTTGGAGAAGACAGGGGTTTGACCACTGAGCTGTTCCAACACCTACAATTACAAATACCCGCGATTTACATTTCAAGGGATCATAACAATTTGCGTTTCCTTAATCTAGCTACGACCAAACCCATTTCAATGATGCTAAAATGTACAAGTCTCAATTTTTTTCACTGTTCGCAACTTTGGGGAAACAAATAACGAACCTTGGATGCACGAGTGAGACGATCACCACTCTCACCGACAGAGATGTTAAGAACGAGCTTCTGAACCTTAATATCCCTCATAGGGTTCGAGAGCTTCTTCTCCGACGCCTGCATCACGTAAAACAGTAAATTAAATCCAAAAATACAAAAACTTGTGAATGAAACATAAGCAAGAAGCAATCTACAGGTTTAAAAATTTGAGAAAGGTACCATCTCAGGATTTAGTGTTTCAAAACCGAGGGAGATAAGCAAAAAGAGTGGCAGACGAATAGCGTCGGCAGCGTAGTGTGATAATTATATGAGAGGCATTAGGGTTTCTTCGTATGTTAGGTTAATGACATAGGTACCCTTACTTACGTCAAAAAATAAAATAAAAACTCCGTTGCCGGGACTCGAACCCGGGTCTCTCGGGTGAGAGCCGAGTATCCTGACCAGCTAGACTACAACGGATTTGATGTCTAGACATACGAGTGTAGGTCATTATATTTATCTTGATTGAGATTGACCATGTATCTAGCTCACTGTGCTTGTGGCTACTTAATTGCTTATCCTGTTACAATATATGCAGATCATAGTTGAATAGTGAGAAAGACAAAAAAAGTCTTGAGATTTGACTTTATAAGGAAGAGAAGAGAGTGATAAACAAACCATCTCATAAAATTTGGCAATAACAACAAAATAGAAGAAGACAAACATTCAAAAGGAGGAAAAAAAAAACAAAGCAACCCCCCTTAAACTGCAGAAACTCCAGCCTTCCTCTTCGGGGTAGACCGATTGTATCGCTTTGACTAGATTCTTCACCTTCTGCTCAAACTTTACTATATAAAAATCTCTGACTAAACTCATTTACAGATGCAGAAAAGACAGAAGAAAATAAGCAAAGAGGAGATTTGTGTTTTTTACCAAACATAAAAAAGGAAAAAAGAAGAAGATACAACGGAATAGATTTTCTTGCAGATTTGGGGAAGTCGGTTGTAGAAGCTTGGCTTTGACCATCAAACTTGTCTGAATAGAACACTTCTGGAACGAGTTTGAGGAGGGTAAACTTCGAATTGTGTCCTCCAAATTGTCTTCAACTACCTTCTGGCTCGAGTAATGGTACATTATATATATAAAGTTCTTGTCTTTTTGATCCTTTATGTTCCGGATTGATTCAAGAAACTGAGACCCAACTGTCTCTTGATATGGTCTGGAATCAACTTGTTGACCAGCTCTGGTGATGCTGCAGCTACCTCTTGTTTGAAGTTGAAGAGAGGCGGGAAAGGCCGTCCATTTGGTAAACGTGCATTTGGTTCTCTGAGTTCATCAAAGAACGGATGTGCACAAGCTTCGAGCTGAAATTAGCAAAACAAAATACTATTTTAGCATTTTCAGTTAGATTCTTAGAGACAGAAGAGAGTTCAAGAGCAAAGCTTACCGCTGTGCATCTAAGACTTGGTGAGTATTGAAGAAGCCTCGAGGCAAAATCAATCGCTTCTGGAGGCATCCTTTTGTGGAAGATCTAAATCAAAAATGAGACAAAACATTGAGTAAATATGATAATGGTGTTGTGTTAAGTAGGAAACTGAAACAAGGGAAAGCACAAACCTTGTGCCAAGGATGTGCCTTTATCTGTGGAAACCTAAAATCTGTGTAATGTGGATTCATACAACGGATTTCTTCTCGAGTTGGTGTACCAAGAACCTGTTTTTCCAACAACCTTATACAATAAGGATATGTCGCCAATGAATGTGATTTTGCAAAATGTCATTGTTCAAGATTCTTACTTTGATAATCTCAACGAGCTGATCCACAGCATTTTCTCCAGGAAATAAGGGCTGTATTCATAAGAACATAATATCATTACAATGAGCGCTTAACGTGAACACATGGGAGGTTATAGAAGGTGACTTGTAAAATATTGGTTTACCTGACCAAGAAGAAGCTCAGCAAGAACACAACCAGCAGACCAGATATCAATAGAAGTTGTGTACTCCGTGGCACCAAATATGAGTTCAGGTGCACGGTAGAATCGTGAACATATGTAAGAAATGTTAGCTTCACCTCTAACCTGAAGCAAAAGTAAATTCAACAGTAAATAACAAGATCATACAAAAACAAGGCTACAAGTCGAAAGAGTTTATATGTCCTGAAGTCTTACGAGCTGTTTCGCACTGCCAAAGTCACAGATCTTGACTTGATGAGTAAGAGGATCAACCTGTAGAAAGAGACAACAAGAGTTACATTAACAACGAAAGAAACAAGAGAAGATAAAAACAAAGAGTTAAATCTTGAATGTAACGCATACCAGAAGATTTTGAGGCTTTAGATCTCTGTGACAAACTCCAGCAACATTGTGAATGTAGGCAAGTCCGCGGAAGATCTGCAACAACACAACAAAAGGGAATTAAACATCAGGAAAGAATCATTTTATGTACATTAATTGCTAAACAAAAGACGTGAAAGTGTGTTGTTACCTGGTACATATAGAGTTTAACATAGACAAGCGGCATTCTTTGGTTTGCACTGCTATAATGTTTCAGAACTCGATACAAGCTCTCAGGGACATACTCCATAACCAAATTGAGGAAAAGCTCGTCTTTGCTTGTGGTTGAAAAGAAGCAATGCTTCAAACAAACCACATTCGGATGATCCATCACACGCATTAACTGAAGTTCTCGGTTCTTGTATCTCCTGTCTTGCAAAACCTTCTTAATCGCCACAGTTTCTCCAGTCTCCAAACACTTTGCCTGGAATACTATTCCGAACGAGCCTGTACCGACAACTCGCTCCGCCATGTAACTAATAGTCTAGCAAAAGAATAGGAAATCTCTTGTTAAGGAACAACTCTTGCATAAACAGAGAAGCATCAATTTGGTTGAGCCTGAAAATACCTGTTTTGGTTCTCCATTTTTTCCTCCGATTGTGGTGGAGATTATGTGACCAGTGACTTGATCATGTCCATCAACTACAGCAGCTGGCATCTCCTGTAAAAAACAAGATTTTAAGGTCAACAAAAACGCAAGTAACCACTGATTCCAAGTAACCACTGATTCCACTTAAAAACCATTATCAAAAGCCAAAAGCATCATGCTTGTCTTAAAATCAAAAAGCTAAAGAAGGAAACTTTATCCTAAAAGAGTGGTTACAAAATAGCCGTTACGCAGGGTGAATCTGATTTTTAGTAATAACAAAATGTATATACTTTTGTCACGCGAGAAGAAAGATACACATAAAAACAAAAAAAATGCATATATCAGATAAAACAAGAATGAATCTATGCTCAATTCTGGATCTAGCAAAGAGTACAAACTGTGGATAAATCACAGATCGAGATCCATAGACATGGATCGTCCTAACAGAGCTAATTCACATAACCCTAGACTGTACTGATTTATGAAATTGAAGAGTCACAGGAAAAAAGATGCTTAATTTACACAATCCAGGAGATACTAATCAGCTTAAGTAAAAGCTAAAGAATAGTCAGGTCGTGCAAAGAACAAACCTTTTTCTCAGAACCCAAAACTCTTAAGCAGCTATATCTACAGCTCAGAGATCTCAAGGTAACTCAAAAAGAAAAAAATTTCGACAAATCCAGTACTCAAAACCCTTCAACTTCAAGAGCACTAGCTAGACTTTTTCTATCCCAAAAACTTCAATAAGAACAACGACCTAAGTCGTTTACTCAAAGACCACTAATTGAATGGTGAAATGTGGAAAACAAACAAAAAAAAAGGATCTTCCCTGAAAGACAGAGAAAAGGAAACAAGTAGCTTACCTTATCGTCAGCCATGGCGTTAGAGACGCACAGAAGAGAATGAAAAGAAAAGAGAGAGAGAGAGAGAGAGAGAGAGAGATTGAGAGAACAAATGGGTTTCAATCAGTTTGGTTGGTAATGATCATGGTGGAGAGAGAGAGAAAGAGAGAGGCCGCAAGATGAGAAAAAGGAGAGAGAAAGAACAAGCCCATGTGAATCCAGCTCTCTTTCTCGCTCTATCTCTTCTTTTATTTCTCTCTCTCTCTCTCTACTTTCCGTTTTCTTCGCCATCTTCTTTCGTATTTTTTTTATCAATGTTTGTTTGCTAAGCTAAATTTACAGAAACACCCTCGTGTTAGCTCTCTAATTACGCAGACAAGGACTCTTCTCTATGGAAATTTCGTGATCAAAGGCATCAATGTTGTTGTCGGTCAAATTTGAATCCTTGATAAGCTCATCGTCTAAAATCGTTGGTTGAGGTCTAAATTGGTATTTCGGGTATCTAATTAAAATGTTAGATGCTATTATTGTCAAATGTCAATATCTCTTTTCCATAATTATGTACACTGAATATTTCATGTATCTTGGTTTAGCACTTAATTAAGTGATGTAGTAAGAAAAAGGTGAATGTATTACTCACTTAACCATAATATTACTCACTAGTTACTTGTAAAACATCCAAAAATTGATTATAAATCCGTATCAAACAATATATAATCATGTTATTTTGACATCGGTTATATAGTTTTGTTAATTTGTGACACAAACAAAAATTTTCATCATCCCGATCCCGTAAATTTTAATTTCCTAAGAAATGTATTATCTTTTGAGAATCAAGACTCAAAATATATTCCACATTTTTAGTCAAAAACATCTACAGGTACAGAAAGTTTTCTACAGGTACGAATAGATTTATGAGAAGTAAACAAAACATGTATAAATAAAAAGGTTGGAGCATGATGAACTGGAACAAATTTGTCAAAGATCCAAGTTTGACCATTTGGTGGGAAAACTTCTTTTTTGACATTGATGAAAGGAAAAAGCATTTATGTTTCTTTGGTCTTAGCTTTCTACTGTTTTTTTATTTTATAACCAATTTTAGACTTGAAATGTCTTTAATTATTACCTAATAGTGTAGCTTTACTTATTGTGTTTGTTTTTTTCTTTATATTTCTTTATTTATTTTTCTGGAAACATCAATATAAAAAATCAATGATGATAATGATAGCAGTACTAGCATTTGCAGAAGACAACAAAAAAATATTAATATAATTTTCTTTTTGTTCAATTATGCATGGGACATACATGCTTTTGGCGGTATGGATTTACATTACATGTTGTGTATTATCTTGACGCACAATAATTCTAATGTTAATATACGTACAGTTATCCAATCGCAGCAATCAGTTTAAATGCTCACATACACTCAGTTTTAGATGCAGAATTCATTATTCTAAGTTGTTAAGATTTATAGGTTACTTTAAACGTGAATGAACCTCGCAAAATAGAAAATAGTGAGAAAAAAAAAAAAACCTCGCAAAATAGTGAGATTATTCTTTAACAATAAAAAATAGTGAGATTATACCAATTATATATTTTTGTAGTATCATATAATTGACGTGTATTCATTGCACTAATTTACAAAAAAATATACAGATGTCTAACTTTCTATTAAAGAATTGTTTTTATATTCTCTTCTAGCTGTACGGATTTTTTGTTTCCTCACGATTCTGTCATACGACACTTAAGATTTTTTTTCCCCCTAAATAACGACACTAGTGTTACTATTGGAGCATAGAAAAATGAACAGTCGATAAGCTTTTGGTCCTGTTTCAAGTAGATAACATATAAAACTAGAATAACGCAAAACTATGTGTAGATAAAAACGATTACATCAGTTTTTCTTTTGTAGGATCGTAGTTACTATATCCGTTTAGAACTCTTGTGGAATGCGAAAGCACGGTAACGTGCAGCATGTGACGAGGTTCTCGAGCCAATATTGTAGAGAACGAAGAGCTAATAATTTGCATAACATGACAATATGTAATCTAAAGAAAAATACGATATTAAGTATATAAAGAAAGATAATCCTTAAACAACAAAAAGAAAAAGAGAGAATAACAGTTGGGCTCAAAAATGGGAAAATGATATCCTAAGATTAATTTTCCATTTCCTAGCCAAACAGCTAACCTTTGGCAAAAAGGGAAGAAGAAGAAAAATTAAGAGGCAACCTCTTCATAACCTTTTCAAGCATATACTTGTCTTCCTCCATTAGTTTTACAACTTTTACTCTATCTGAAATTTATTTAACTGTTAACCTCCCTTACTTAATAACTTTAAGCGAATATACATCAAAGTAAAAGTTCTTACTTTTTTAATAAAACCTGAACAATCTCATCTATCAAACCCATACTAGTGCATACACTAAAATTGAAATCAATTTTGTTTAGCAATTTAAGTCGTATGTTATAATTGAAGAGATTAACAGTTTTCGAATATCAAAGTAATTTTAAACGTTTATTATGGAATATTTATCATAAGATCATAATATCAAAAAATTATAAATGCTATTTTAACCCTTACAGTGTACCTATAAATCAGCATGTAGTGTTTAACATATGCCACAATCCACATAATGAACTACAATTTGGCAAAATCTGATTTAGATCCAAAACTCAAATTACAGCATTACAACAACAACACTAATACAATTACAAACTACTGATCAATAGATTCCGATCCGGTCATTTTGGCAGCAAGATTCAACCATATTTACGAAGTTTTAGGCCATATATTAGTACGAGTAGAAACAGAAAAATTGAAACGAATTCATATAAATACTATTATAAGAAAATGAAGATAGAAAGGATTGACGGGTGGGCTGGCAGTCGGTGGGAGAAGATGGGCTAGTCAAACCTCCAAACTTATTTTAGTCAAAACTCAACGACCTCTTAGCCTCTCTGTCATAAACTATTTTTTTTTTCTTTTTTTTTATGATAGTGATTGTTTCTGCTGCTAGCGAACGTAAAACCCTTACGATGTTGACATCTTTCGGTTCTGGCATTAGAAGGCTTCGATTGAACGACTAGAAACTTAAGCACCCGTTTAGTAAGCGGGAGGTCTTGAGTTCGACTCTCAACGAAATCAATTCATATTTATATTTTAACCAAATGGTGGTAGTGGAATGGTTCTTTTTCTTGATGAGAGTTGCTCCGTTAGTCCAAATCAGGGATCAACTCTTCATGGAAGTAGAATTACAATATTTAATCTATTTGGCCACCGGGGTATTCATATAGTCTCTCCGAGTTCTAGGATTAGTCGGTGTTGGAGGGATGATACGTTGGTTTACAATCAGGATTTGCAATCTGTAACTGTATCGCCAGCGGTCCTCCGAATTACCTGAGTTATATAAATAAAATAAAAAATAAGCCAACCATAACAGCTGCTTACTACTCGTAGAAAATGGGCTTTTTTATAAGGCTCGTAAATTTTATACAAAATCTTCGCTACAACAAAAAGATAAAAGAGTACATGACCCAGTGGCCAGGGTCCAATAACTGAGTTTTGTTCACATGTGTTGGGGTTGCCTAGTTTTAGTATGAGCAAAGATAATAAAGTGTGATCAATAATGTCTCGGTGCAGTGTATATGGAATTTGATTTTGTGCCATCATGGTTGGTACAAATGCATTATGTTTTTTCGGTCTTGGAGATGGACTCAAGTTAGTCTGTCAAAATGTTTCGAACAGCGACTCATAAACTCGCCTTCGGAAAACAACTATTATGTGGGATGAGCCACCCGTACTCAAAGTGTACTGACATTGTTGGAGGTCAATTTTTTTGGTCGACTTGATTCGTGGTAATTCAAATGAATATTTATCCATGTATCTCAGACAATTTCTTTTCTTGAAGAAACTCATATAGGCAAAGTATATCGCTTTACACAAGTGTTACAACAAAACTCTTCTTAACACATGGGCTTGTTTTACAGACCCACGAGGTATCCAACTTCGTATTTAAAAAATCTAGCCCAAACCAACCTGACACTTTTTATGGAACAATTTTCCGACAAAGAGAGTGATATATATGTACAATACAACAGTATACAATATAACAATACCAACTCTCCACGTACAATATAACAATACCAACTCTCCACGTCCGTACTAAAAATGTTAACATTTGTGGACAAATGTCAACATGTTTAGGAATTGAACTGTCTATTTCTTGATTATTCGTTTACGTGGAATTGTATATTGTTCATATTTACACAAACAGCTAATATATTATTGTTCACCAATCACCACTTGTGTTTTCTTAACTTCTTAGATTAAGGAGATCTATCTAAAATATCAATTACATCATAATCGTTCTAAATGGACTATCTAACGTCTTTTCGAATGATATTTAATGCCCTTGCTTATAATAAACTCTTGACAGACCATTACGTACATTGACTTACGACTCCACCGACCTTCTTCAACAACCGTTGCAGAAGAATTGACTTTTTGTTTTCTGAAAAATAATTGATTAAGATTTACTTAATTACACTATTTTAGATAGTTGAATTAATTTAGATATTTGATAAGGAGTGTGGCGTATAAACACTTTATATACTAACTTCGCGCTTATTATTTTCTAAAGCTGGATTCCCTAATTTCTGTGTTGTCTTGTCTGTGTAAAGACAAAAACGTATCATGTGGCAATCCAACGGCTGTAATTAATTCACAGCTGTTCGATCAAATGACGTGGGGCCTAACACTTACCAGATAGAAAACTCGAGACCACTTGAAAATTAAATATAAAGTAATCGCTGAGAAAAAGACACGTGTAAAACAAATCAAAATAACCATCGTTTGAATTAATTAACAGCGCGAAAACAAATAACGATGATGTCATCGTAGCGCCACGTGGATGATGCTATATGGTAGAGTCGTAGAGATATGATATTTATTTGTAATAATCGGTAAATCTACGATCTAGATTCGTCTCGAGACCAACAACTTCACCCACTCAGATTAGCTGTTGCTAATTGTCTTTCCCTACGATTAATCAAGTTTCAAATTGTCTTTTACGATTCGATTGTTTATTCCCTAAGGCTAAGAGTGATTAACAACCACTGATTACGATTGAGAATAGTATTTGTTCTAGCCTTCTAATTGCTAGTGTAAATTTATCTCAAAGCAACCAATTTGTTTTGGCGATTTGTATGTATCATTATTTCAAAAATGTTTATATTTTCAGGGAATAAATTAAATTTTAGTTAAAAAGAAGGGTTTTATTTAAAAATATGGATGTACCGCTACAATAATTCAGGTATCCAACATCAATTCATTTATTTGACCATTTTAGTTCACCACTCAACGATTTTGTTGCGTCATATTTTGACATTAACGATTCTAATAATTCTTTATAGCAAAACATCGCTATATATGATAATGACTTATGTTTTTGTATTTACGTATCAGTAACAAACAAGTGGTATAATTGGTGTATAAGATTAAGAGGCATGAACAATACGGCTATCTTGGAAATTTTAGATTTATATTGTAATACAAGTTGTAATAATTAAACGTTGAGATGATTACAAATTTTGATTTTTCGTGAATGATGCTCTTTCTCGAAAATGATCATTGCATATCTTTCTTTTTCCAACAATATATGCGTCGAGTTTAGAGTTTAATATGTACCTTCAAATATCCCTATAATAATTTAGAATGGCAAGTTGAGATTTTTTAACATTTCTCTTTGGTTAGAAAATATTATTTAACTTGTTAGTCTTGCTTTTCTACATAATTGAAACAAATAATGTTATGATTTTTTTTTTTGGGTCGAACTCAAATTACATCGTTGGGAAATGATTAGTAATTATTGGAACGCATTAAATATATACGATATGGTTACTTAAGAACTCGTTAATAGGAAAAAAATCTAAAAATTAAATTTTAAAAGTGAAATAAAATCTATATAGATACAAGTCGATGTCGCAAGACTTGTAACCAAAAAAGTGACTTTATTTCCCAATTTTGCTTTTCTCATTTTAATTTGTCATTTTCTCATTTTATATTGAACACTCATTAAGCATATTCCCAAATATATACGGTGACGATAGAAACAGAGCAAATGCTATTTCTAGTGAATCCCTAAAAACAGAGAGAGGGAGAGAGAGACCTTCTTCGTCTTCGTCTTCGTCTTCGTCTTCTACAACATCTCGAAATTCTCAAAACGAGAGAGAATCAACGAATCAACAGGTGAGAAATTCGAAATCCAAGCGAGTTTGACTCGCCCAGATTCTCGATTTCTCCACCTTTTCGTAGATCATTGATTTCCGATTTCTCTCTTTCCCACTCCTCCGGTGAGTCCTAAACTGAGATTTTAACCCAGAATCCGTCGACAGATTCGTCTTCCATGGCGGGTTTAATCAGAGAAACGTCGTTGCCGAAAGAGAGAAGCAGCCCACAAGCTCTCATCCTCGGAAGATACGAGATGGGTAAGCTTCTCGGCCATGGAACCTTCGCCAAGGTTTACCTCGCACGAAACGTGAAATCAGGCGAAAGCGTCGCGATCAAAGTAATCGACAAGGAGAAAGTACTCAAAGGCGGTTTAATCGCTCACATCAAACGCGAGATCTCGATTCTCCGCCGTGTGCGTCACCCGAACATCGTCCAGCTCTTCGAAGTCATGGCGACGAAAGCGAAGATCTACTTCGTCATGGAGTACGTTCGTGGAGGCGAGCTCTTCAACAAAGTAGCTAAAGGCCGTCTCAAGGAAGAAGTCGCTCGCAAGTATTTCCAGCAATTGATATCCGCCGTCACTTTCTGCCACGCTCGCGGCGTTTACCACCGAGATCTGAAACCGGAGAATCTCCTCTTGGACGAAAACGGCAATCTCAAAGTCTCTGACTTTGGACTCAGCGCTGTCTCCGATCAGATTCGACAAGACGGGCTTTTCCACACGTTTTGTGGCACTCCGGCTTACGTTGCGCCGGAGGTTTTGGCGAGGAAAGGCTACGATGCTGCGAAAGTTGATATCTGGTCTTGTGGAGTTATCTTGTTCGTGTTAATGGCGGGTTATCTCCCGTTTCATGATCGGAATGTTATGGCTATGTATAAGAAGATTTACAAAGGGGAATTTAGGTGTCCTAGATGGTTTTCTCCGGAGCTAACGAAGTTGTTGTCTCGGCTTCTGGTGACGAATCCGGAGAAACGTTTTACTTTCCCTGAGATTATGGAGAATTCTTGGTTTAAGAAAGGGTTTAAGCATATCAAATTCTATGTGGAAGATGATAAGCTTTGCAATGTTGATGACGATGATGATGAATTGGAGACTGCATCCGTGGAGTCGGATCGGTCTTCTACGGTTTCTGAGTCTGAACTTGAGTATTTCGAGCCTAGAAGGAGAGTTGGGGCGTTGCCTAGACCGGCGAGTTTGAATGCTTTCGATATTATATCGTTCTCGCAAGGATTCGATTTATCCGGTTTGTTTGATGATGATGGTGAAGGTTCTAGGTTTGTTTCTGGAGCTCCGGTTTCGAAGATCATATCGAAGTTGGAAGAGATTGCTAAAGTTGTGAGCTTTACGGTGAGGAAGAAGGATTGTAGGGTAAGTCTTGAAGGTTCAAGACAAGGAGTGAAAGGTCCATTGACGATTGCAGCAGAGATATTCGAATTGACACCTTCGTTGGTTGTTGTTGAAGTTAAGAAGAAAGGAGGAGATAAAACTGAGTATGAAGAGTTTTGTAACAACGAATTGAAACCCAAATTGCAGAATTTGACAGCTGATGAAGTAGTAGAGCCTGTGGCGGTTGCAGCGGTTGATGAAACCGCAACTGCAATCGCGAATTCTCCACCCGTTTGTTTCTTGCCTTCTGACTCTGAATAGAAGATGATAGGCCACAAAACCACTTTTGATTTTCCTTATGGAAGATTGGGGTTTTGTTACCTGAATTTGAGAAGAAAAAAAGCTGCTTAGGTTTGGTGAAATGTAGAATCGAATTGTGTAATTTATATGTTATGTTTTCTGTTGCAGAGATCATTAGAGGAATAAGATACGGGCTCTGAGTTATGTTTTACTAACCTTTTAGCAGTTTTTTTTTGTTTTGTATGGGAGAATTGTAAACAGTTTCGTATCAAATCTTTTATGTATAAAACAATGAAATCAAATAAAGAAACTTGCTTTCTTCTTCTTGAAACCCCTCTTTTTGTTATATGATTAATGGTTTTATTATCTGTAATACTTTGTTCTGTTTTTGGTTTGACCTTTATTTGCTTAAATGGTTAAGAACCAAGAGGAGAAGAATGTTCTTGTTTTGTTGATTCTTGATGATTTTTGTGGCGGGGAATTCAGATGGTGACGTTTTTGTATTATGAATTCTAACTATTTGTGGGTAAAGAAATTGACAGGAACCATGTGAAGTGTTTGTCTTTGTGTGAAGCAATTTGGTTTTGAGTTGATACTTGATAGCAATGTGTCTTGCCATTTTATTTTATTTTGAAATTATTATATCTGCAAGATTTGGTTTGACAATCACAGATACAAAAAGTGTTTTTCTTGATGTGGCCAAGCATTTTCGACTCTACATGTGAGTGTAAAGCATGTATGTTTGTGATGTTGATTTGCATTGATGATATACCAACTCGTACCTTCTATTTGAGCTTTTGTATGAATGTGTGCTTAATGATAATCAGTTAATCGGTCTAGTCCGTTTTTTTGTTTTTCCCTTATTTTCTTTGCTTGAAATATAAATAAAAATTGAAATAAGGCACAATACTTTTGGGATTTTGGGTTTCAGCAGCGTTGATTAGTATAAGCGATAGAACATAAAAATGTAACTTTGTTGGGGAAACCCACCCAAAAAGAAACATAATTTTTATCTATAAATAAAGGGTCAATTTGCTAGAAAAATCAAAACCTGGTCAAAATTAGCTAAATAGGAAAGAGAAAATGTAAAAGCTATTTCTACAGTGTTTGGTCGGTGTGTTAATTACCATATAACCCTTCTTTGATTTTTATTGTTTATCAACTTTATTTCATTGACGAGATATTCTTCTCTCTCATCTAGTTAATATATAAGTTATATAGTTACATAACTTGTTAACATATTACATAGATATATATAGCCAATACAATTACATAACTTGTTAACAACGTACATATTTTATTAGCATAGTAAGTATGACAGAGAGTTTCGTCGCAAAGATCAATGAACTAAAACAAGTTATAGATCAATATCCTGTTGGATTATGGTAACAAGTTACATGTTATTGTATCATGTTAAAATTTATTGTATCAAGTAAATATATAAATGTACTGCTAACATTTGTTTTAACATGGTAACTTAATCATTGTTGGTTAACTTACATTTTACCAATAAATGTTTACATGTTATTATACGATTTAAATACTTAGATATAGCTCTAATTTTATATTTTACAAGATAAGTAAAATTGTAAATCATCAACCTTTAGATTAACTTGACTATATTCATCAAAAGAACATTGATTCTATATTTCATCTTCAATCTCTAGAAACCACAATATATGAACAATAGTCACCAATAATAATCAGATATCAAAATCATACCCAACTTAGTTTCGCTTTGTTTTCATCAAAGACTTTAAAATCGATTTCGAAGAGCGAAGGCGGCTGAGGTCGCTCGGCGCCGACGCTATCGCACCATCGCCAAGAGCCTTCCCATTTGAGAATCTCGGAGTCTCTTAACTTCGTCTTCGTCTAAGGTGTTGAGTATCGTTTGTACAGATTTGGACTTCTGGTACGATTAACTCGTTCCCCCACGGGTTCTTGTCCAGCAGCGAACAGTCGCTCAAGGAGCTTGATATTAGACATTCTGGAATTTCGATTTTGAAACAGACAAATCAGACGAATGATTTAGATAGCGTAGATCAAATTATTTGGCATAGATTACAAATTTATTAGAAATTTATCTTTACTTTGATGAAGTTAGCTTTGGTTTCGCCGGAAACTGCCAAATATTGTGAACTCGGAATTGTTCTGACTTGATAATGTTTAGAAACTGAAAACTTCTGTCTAAAAAGGAAAATACCCTAATCGATATAACCGAGGATCGTTTAATTATGTGTATATCCGATTATCATAAATTAAAATATATTTTTACTGACAAAATATCTTGAACATATCGTGCATATTTGATTAGCATTCTTCAGGGTGATAAGGATAAAGATGCCATATTAGAAATGTGTACAGTGTCCAAATAGTGGATTTACCGATTCTGCAAATTATGAACAGGAACATGGTCATGTAGTGCATTTACTTATAAATAAATCTAAGCGAAAACATTCAAAATTTCGTTGTCTTTTTCTTAACGGAAAAAATGGATACTGCAGCAAGTGGCGAGTGAAGTGACCCAATTTACCGGCACAACCCACATGCCTCATTCAAGCCCACCTGAATATGTCCTCTTTATAATTATCACATTGTATATTATAAAGACGACATAATTAAAGGTATACTATCAAATGATCATAATTATTTCAATAAGCATGTATGTGGCCAAAAATATTTCAATATAAAGCATGTAAATGTATATTATCAAATGACCACCTGAATATTGCATAACAATATATATTATGTATATATATATATATACCTTTTAAAATATGATAATTACAAAAATAGATACAAATGACCAAGAAAGATCATTGAAATAGCGTATAAATTGTATAATACCTGTTCTATCTTATAAAAAATGTCTGAAACTATCATAGCTTACTCATATCCATTTAAGAATTTTAATCAAAAAAAAATATCCATTTAAGAAAATACTTTTTTTTTGAACTTTTGGATAATATCTTGTACAATACCATGGCGTTTTTGTAAACTCGAAACAGATTGACAACTCTTGTCGCCTAAGACGAACTTTTTTTTTCTTTTGTAGTTTGTCTTAGACTATGCCAAAACCTATATCGAGATCTTCGAATCTATCTTTGATGTTAGCCATTGACATTTTCGAGGTATAAATCAACACAAACTGTCTTTTTTTTTGTGAAGGTATTGATTTAATGGTGGAACTTTTTTTTCTTTCAAAAGAATGGAATGCTTTGATACCAAATGATAGCTTTGATCTCAACCAAAATTTTAGAAACAGAGCAAGAACAACGATTATAACATAAGAAGAACAATAAGACTTTTGTTTGACAATTAAAAGATTGATATATATCTTTGACTCTTTATTGATTGAAATGGAAACAAGAAACAAAAGGTGGAGTTCAACTCCTATAAACAAGGAAAATGGGGAAATTAGAGAGTTGGTTCCTAAACACAAGGATGGCCACTTCTCTTACAACCGAAGTAAAAGCATAACTAAATTTTTTCTTTTTTGTTCAGCCGCATAAATTAACTAAAAGACAAACCTTCGACCAAAACTAAAAAAAAGTAAAAGACAAACCACAATGAAACGAGTTAAACATAACTTGTTGTTCGGGATTTTGGTTCAGTTTGATGTCTTCCACTTTGGTTTTCCTCATAAAGACAACGTAACATAACAAGAAGTTCTTTTCTTCTCAAAATGATATATATATATTAAGACCTTACTCACATCAACGAGTGGCCGACCCGTTTGACTTCCCGGCTCCGCCTCTTGCGGCGGCTGCATCATCCGCACGTACACACCCAAAACGACGCTCTTCTCTAACTCTTCCCCACTCGTGCAACGACACGTAAAGTCTTTTCTTAGCGAGCAAGAACTCTGCCGCTTGAACCGGAGTCACAACTTCAACGATCTTCCTAAGTGTCTCAAACCTCAGCTTATCAGCTTCCACCATCAAAACCGCCATACACTCTTCATGCTTGTCTAAAGCATCCTCCACCGCCACGCCAGCCTCCACTAAATCCGTTGCGTAAGCCGTGACGGCGATAGGCATATCCGCAGCATCTTCTTGCAGACTCGCAGCTTTCTTGGATATCTTATCCTCTTCCTTTATTACCTTCATATGTAACTCATTGATTTGCCAGAGTTGCGTTGAGGTAAGCTGACTCATGGAACCATCGCCATGGTTTTCATGGATGTTTTCATCGATCTTGATGAAAAGATACTGAGAAAGCTGAGTTTCGGTTTGGGATCCACACATTGCGTAAATAACCCTAATGAAAGATGAAGGACGACTTCCTCCCATCCATAGCAAACCGTTCTCTAGAGAAGAGTTCCACGACGGTGCAAAGTAGCTTGAGCACGATTGGTGCGAGAGCTCCGATCTTCTTTTAGTGTACTTTTGAAAGTCATCGACGATTTCACCAACGAGCTCTCCAAGTTTGTGATCGTTCTTGTTGGATTGTTGACTTGTGAGTGCTTCTTTGAGATCAACTATGTGTTTAGCTTGTAAAATCATCCACTCATAATAACATCCTTTTTGAAGTTTTTCAATCTCATAACTCGAAGAACCACTAGTCGCCATCTCTCTTTTTTTTTTGGTATTTATTTTGTTGTTAAAAGATATTTTGCAGCTTTCTTCGTTGGTTACTTTTGCGAATACGTACTCTATACTCTCTTATATACATCGGATTGGTGCAAGTCGGTAAATTATAATTATATTATATATTTGCTATAATTTAAAAACAGTAACAACATGCAGCTACGGCATGGGCTTATTTTCCGAATTTGTGGTTTAAACCTTTATTAAATTGGATTCTCTCTTGGCATGTGGATCTTTGCTTCTTTAGACGAAAACGGATTAACATGCCAAACAACATTATTTTGGACGGAGCTCACTTTTAGAAAGTAAATTTAAAGTTACTAAAAATCTTCTCAATACCTTCTCTTGTAAGAATTCTGTTAAAACTGGTTGGTAATCGAATGATAGACACGAAAACAATTAAAATTAATAAACTTCCAATTCCGAGTTAATTGGAAATGACCAGCTAATCTTCACAAGAATATTACCTTTTGAAAAAGAAAAAAAAATCACCATATGGTAGTTAGACAAGATTGTTATTTGTTAACACGTTTATTGGATATATAGGTACATTCAATTCTAATTCCACTATTTCACCGATTACAACATGTTACATAAAAGATAATTGAGTTTTGATATCATGTTGAAATTTATAAATTTTAACTTAAGTTTTATATATGTTATGTTATATATAATGCTTGCTTAAGAATGAACTTTGATTGTTTGTGATCGTTTTTGTTGGATGGTTGACTCGTTAGTGCTTCTTTGATCAACGACGTGTTTAGCCTGTAAACTCATCCACTCATAGACTCATAGTAACGGCATTTTTGAAGTTGTTCAATCCATAACTCGAATAACTACTAGTCCCCATATCTTTCTTCGTTGGTCAGTTTCGTGAATATATTTTTATGTTACTCTTTACTCGAAGAACTACTAGTCCCCATATCTTTCTTCGTTGGTCAGTTTCGTAAATATATTTTAATGTTACTCTTTACTCGAAGAACTACTAGTCCCCATATCTTTCTTCGTTGGTCAGTTTCGTGAATATATTTTAATGTTATTCTATACTCAATTTTATACATCGGGGTGCATACCGTGCATGCATGTATGTAAATTTTCGTTATATTATATAGGTGCTTTAAGTTAAAAACAGTAATTATAAGGACATGCATATACGGCATGGGCCTTTTTCAAAATCGTTGCTTTAACCTTTATTAAATTGGATTTTTCTCTCTTGGTTTGTGGATCTTTGCTTCTTTAGACGCAAATGGACAAATGGGCACGGATAAATACAGAGCCTGACAAAAAAAAAAATATATATATATATATATTGAATATAAAATATCTTACTTCTCTTGTAGGAATTCTCTATCTTCTCGAATTCCGTAAATAATGGTTTCTTATGGCTAGCAAATTTTTCATCCCTTTCTCTTTCTTCCTTCTACCCTGAACGATTTCTCTCTCTTTTTTTCTTCTTTTTCGTTTCTCAAATTTAAAAATAAAATATTAAATAGAAACCCCATTATCAGTTTTAGCGATAATAATGCTCTTAATATCTTTCTTCTCTTTTAGGAGTTCCGTAACTAATGGTTTTTCTTAATATCTTTCTTCTCTTCTAAGAATTCCGTGAATACTAAATAATGGTTGGTAATCGAATAACAAACACGAAATCATTTTAAGTAATAAAATTCCAATTCACAATTCCAATTGGAAATGACCAACTAATCTTCATAACATATTATTTTAAATCTCACCTTATGTTAGACGAGATTTTTAACACTCGAGATAGATGTCTATTTTCGAACCTAATTTCACTATTAGACCGATCATTTAACATGTTTACATAAGATAATTTAATACCAACTGATGAAAAGTAAATTAGTATATAATGAAAGTATGTACATCCGGAAGGATACCAAAAATGCCATTTCATAGTTCATAACATTGTGTGCTTAGTAGAGTCACAGACAAATGTGCTTAATAGAGTCACAGACAAACATACACACACAACATGATTAATATTGTTGCAATAACATCAAAGGTAAACATGATACTATTGATTTTATATTTTTTGGACTTGAATGATGACATATATAGGTGCAGTTTTTTTAGTAAAGTTGTCAATTTTACTTATTTATCACCATTCAACAATTTTTAACGTACATTTATTTTTGTCATATATTCTTTTATTATAATATTAATATAAATAAAACCATTTTTTGTGAAAGAAAAGTAAAAGTGCATTGAATAGTAATACTGTATCTATTTTACTGTCTTTTTTGTATTCGATGCATTTTTCAATTAAAAATATATATTTTTTTAAAAAAATTAGATAATTTAATTTTGTTAAAAAATTCAGTTCTATTCAAAAATATTATTTTTAATCATTTAAAATATTTGAAAATATTAATTTATACCGTTTATTATTTTATTTCACTAATCAAATATTATTTTATATCGTTTATTTAATATCTATCATATTTATCACGCAATTACTTTTTTTTTGCACGTATTGCGATTGAACTATATCATATTTTCAAATTATTTATCCAATATGATTAAATATGTTGTCATTATTCAGATTTTTTGAGTCAAATAGATAAAGAAATTTTTTTATATATATAGGAAATTTAAAACTACATATACTGTGTGTTGGGAGCAAGTTGGTGTAGTAGCCATTTACCACGTAATCCTTTTACTCAGTTCCGGAGATGTGTACATGTCATCTTTTGAACCTTCGAGTTGTTTGATTTTTATTCATAAATATCTCCGTCTTTTTACCCAATACGTATATATCTAATCTCCAATATTGTTTTCTTGTTTTTTTTTTGTCTTTTTGTTTTACTTTGGAATATGAATATAAAAGAAACAAAATATTCGAATGTTATAAATTTCAACAACTGCCAGTCACCATTTCCGCAAAATACCAATTCTCAGTTTGCCGACAAAAAAAAAACAATTCTCAGTTTACACTAGTTTAATTTAGGGGTTTTAGTTTACGTATTTTACTGAAATATTTCAAAAATCTAAAATGGAGTATTATCTAAAATATTTATCAAACTTAAAGTTTTAACAATTAGGGTTAAACACTATACTCATTATATCTATAAATATCATAAAATTTACAAATAAATAAATAAAAACATACAAAATCAAGCTCTGTTTTGGCTAACAATCTAACGTACCCAAAATCAACTTAGCAAAGAAAAACCTAAAAAAAAAATTTAAAAACAAACCAGAATAATATTTTAGTGATTTTGATAGTGAAAAGACAACTCAACTAACCATGGTTTTTTCTTTATATAGAATCATTTTTCTGATAAATTAGGACTAACAAACCATGGTGTTTAGAGCGAAACTATCACGACGAAAAAAAAAAAAAACTTATTATTATTTACAACTTATTTACATCCATTAAAAAAAGACCGTCTCGACTTTTTGGAGTTTTTGTTATTATTCGTTACATAAAACCAAAGCAAAAAACTTATGCATCATCTAGTGACTACGTCGACCGCATCTCACACACATAAAGACAACTTAACATCATAATAAACCTTAAAAACTCATCACACTCATGACATCACGTCAACATGGGTCTGACCTGTTGACTTCACGGCTCAGCTTCTTGCGGCGGCTGCATGGTCCACATGTGCACACCCAAAACGACGCTCTTCTCTAACTCTTCCCCACTCGTGCAACGACACGTGTAATCTTTTCCCGGCGAGCAAAAACTCCGCCGCTTGAACCGGGGTCATAACTTCCACGATCTTCTTAAGAGTCTCGACCCTCAGCTTATCAGCTTCCGCCATCAAAACCCCCAAACACTCTTCATGCTTGTCTAAAACATTCTCCACCGCCACGCCTGCCTCCACCAAATCGGTTGCGTAAGCCGTGACGGCAATAGGCATATCCGCAACATCTTCTTGCAAATTCGCAGCTTTCTTCGATAACTTATCTTCTTTCTCTATCACCTTCATATGTAACTCATTGATTTGTCCGAGTTGCACTGAAGTAAGATCACTTAATGAACCATCGCCATGGTTTTCATGGATGTTTTCATCAATCTTGAGGAGATACTGAGAAAGCTGAGTTTCGGCCTGGGAGCCACACGTGGCGTAGATAACTCTGATGAAAGATGAAGGACGACATCCTCCCATCCATAGCAAACTGTTCTCTAGAGAAGAGTTCCAAGACGGTGCAAAGTAGCTTGAGCAGGATCGGTCCGAGAGCTCTGATCGTTTTTTGGTGTACTTTTGGAATTCATCGACGATTTCACCAACGAGCTCTCCGAGTTTGCGATCGTCTTTAGTCGTGAGTGCTTCTTTGAGATCAACTATGCGTTTAGCTTGTAAACTCATCCACTCATGGTAACATCCTTTTTGAAGTTGTTCAATCCCATTACTAGTCGCCATCTTTAACCTTTCTTTTTGTTTTTGTTTATAGAACTTTAACGTTGTACTCTGTAGTCTTATATACATTGGTTGGTGCATGTGTGTAATTTTAATTATATCATATATATGTGCTTTAAGTTAACAGCTTTAATTATAACAACTTGCATATACGGCCGTACAAGGTTTTAACCATTATTAAATTCGAAATTGGATTTCTTTCTCAATTGGTTTGTGAAGTTTTGGCTTTTCTATACGGAAACGGACAAAAGGGCATGGGTGAATATAGTGCCAGCCTGACTTAGTAGTATTGTGGAACCAGTTTCACTCTTAAAAATAAAATTTTAAGATACATAATATCTTCTCTTGTACGTAGGAATTCCGTGTGAGCAATCAAATGAAGAAAACAAAAACTGTTTAAAGTAACAAAATTCTTACTCAAAATCAATCATAATACCATAAATATTTCGAGACCTTAGATTTTTTTTTTCCCAGAGATCTTAAGTTTTGTTATAAAGGTCAAAAAAAGAAAAAATCAAGGGTAAACATAACACTAATTTTGTTTTTTATATTGAATTTTCAATCATTTTCCTAGATATAAGAAATTTAAAATTTCATATAGATATGTCCTGTGGGTCATGTCGTTTTAAGACTATTCCGACATAAGTACAGCTAACTGTTGAACTTATTTTTATGACTTGGGACACCTCAAAACAAATTGAATCCACGTGACTTTCTAAGTGTCGGTCAACTAATTCATTTAACTTAGACATTTCGACCAAAGAAAAACTTATTACACATCATCACCAAACAAAAAAAAGGCCCAGCAACATTTCATTTTATGGGCTTAACCAACAATGATAGTCCATGACCATGTCAAAGGAGAAAATGATAGATATATATACATACATATAAAAAAAAACTCATTTCAATTAGGACAATGATAACTGAATTCATTTCATTTCTTCAAAACTTTGTTATAACTTATATAGATAACAAACTTGTGTGTGATCGACTAAATGTTAATTTGTTTCTAATCAGTAACTGGTATTTTACCAAGATTGGATCCAAAACACATCACTAGATATATAAAAATGTTTTCCAATACTCGTTCAAGTACTAACTATACTGTACTAGAATAGTTGATGGTGATGCTAAAACTGCCTGGTGCCTAGAGCAATGTAATTTGTCTTTAATCCAAGCTTTAGTGTTGACCAAATCTTTAAAATAATTGTATAATTCGTAACTTAACGTATATAATCAATCATGTGATCATTTCAAAAAAAGGTAACCAAAAAGTCGATCTAACATTTATTAATTTGTTATGTAATTCATAGACACACATCATTTAATAATACTTATTTGAAAGTGTAATAAGCAGTGAGGGAGAGAGTATAATAATGCGTGTAGGGCTGAGCTGTGAAGACTGAAGAGCTGTCTCTCTCTCTCTCACTCACATTTATAATTTCCCTCTTCACTGAGTTAAAATTTTCTCACTTTGTTTCCTATTTTACCCTTGATCATCCTTCAAATCTCCCAACACCTGCCATTCCACTCAGATGTCTTGTTGTGTGGAGCAGCAATGAAGACGAAGATGGAGATGGAGATGACTTCTCAGATCCACTTCTTTCTCCTTCTTCTTTTTGCCTGCTTCTTCTTCTTCTTCACTGGCCTCTCTCACTCTCATCCACTCACTTTTAATGGCGATCTCTCCGACAAGGAAGTCCGGCTAATCCGACAGCGACAGCTTCTCTACTACCGCGACGAGTTCGGCGACCGCGGCGAGAATGTCGTCGTCGATCCATCTCTAGTCTTCGAGAATCCACGGCTCCGAAATGCTTACATAGCTCTTCAAGCTTGGAAGCAAGCCATTCTCTCTGATCCAAACAATTTCACCACCAACTGGATCGGCTCCGATGTATGCAGTTACACCGGAGTTTACTGTGCTCCGGCGCCGGATAATCGTCGGATCCGTACCGTCGCCGGGATAGATCTCAATCACGCCGATATTGCCGGGTACTTGCCTCAGGAGCTTGGTTTGTTAACGGATCTCGCTCTGTTCCATGTTAATTCGAACCGCTTTTGTGGAACCGTACCGCATCGGTTTAACCGGCTTAAGCTTCTCTTTGAGCTTGATCTCAGTAATAACCGGTTCGCCGGAAAATTCCCCGCCGTCATCCTCCAGTTACCGTCGTTGAAGTTTCTGGATCTACGGTTCAACGAGTTTGAAGGACCTGTGCCTAGAGAGCTCTTCAGCAAAGATCTAGACGCGATCTTCATCAACCATAACCGGTTCCGGTTCGAGTTACCGGATAATTTGGGAGATTCGCCGGTTTCAGTCATCGTTGTGGCGAACAATCAGTTCCACGGCTGTATTCCGACGAGTTTAGGCGATATGAGGAACCTGGAAGAGATCATTTTCATGAACAATGGGTTTGATTCTTGTTTGCCTTCGGAGATCGGACGGTTGAAAAACGTGACCGTGTTTGACTTCAGTTTCAACGATCTGGTCGGGCCGTTACCGGCGAGTATTGGCGGGATGGTTTCGATGGAGCAGTTAAACGTGGCGCATAATAGATTCTCCGGTAAGATTCCGGCGAGTATTTGTCAGTTGCCGAAGCTGGAGAACTTCACTTTCAGCTACAATTTCTTCACCGGGGAACCGCCGGTGTGTCTCGGGTTGGCTGGGTTTGATGATCGGCGTAACTGTTTGCCGGCGAGACCTGCGCAGCGATCTCCAGGGCAATGTGCGGCTTTCTTGTCTCGGCCGCCGGTGAATTGTGCATCGTTTGGATGTGGCCGTTCTGTTTCTCCCAAGCCTCCGATTGTCGTTCCGTCACCGCCGACAACACCATCTCCTGGTGGTTCTCCTCCTCCCACCGTGGTGCCTCCATCTAGTCCTCCGATCATTGCTTTATCTCCTCCGTCAACTCCACCATCACCACCTGGTTCTTTTAGTCCACCGTTCACAAGCCCGTCTCCACCTCCTGGTCCTCCTAGTCCTCCGGGTGTTGTCCCGTCACCTACACCACCTCCGGTTTACTCTCCTCCGCGTCCGCCACCTACAGGGTACTCTCCTCCATCTCCTCCACCGTCGACAGGTTACTCTCCACCGCCGTCAACAGGGTACTCTCCTCCATCTCCTCCACCGTCGACAGGTTACTCTCCACCGCCGTCAACAGGGTACTCTCCTCAATCTCCTCCACCGTCGACAGGTACTCTACTCCGCCTCCGCCGCCAACAGGTTACATTACTCCTTCTCCTCCACCGTCGACAGGTTACTCTCCTCCACCGTCTACGGGTTACTCTCCTCCATCACCTCCGCCGTCTACGGGTTACTCTCCTCCATCACCACCGTCTACGGGTTACTCTCCTCCATCACCTCCGCCGTCTACGGGTTACGCTCCTCCGCCGTCTACGGGTTACTCTCCTCCGCCGTCTACGGGTTACTCTCCTCCATCACCACCGCCTCACTCGCCGTCACCGCCAGTCCCTTACTACTATAGCTCACCTCCACCACCACCGCATTACTCATTACCTCCACCACCGGTTTATCACTATCTATCCCCACCACCTCCACCAACGCCACTATATTCTCCTCCGCCGCGATCACCTCCACCGTGCGTAGAATACTCACCGCCTCCGCCTCCGACTGTCCATTATAGTCCCCCTCCCCCACCACCACCTGTCCACTACACTCCGCCGCCATCATCGCCACCTCCGCCGGTGATTCATCACAGCCCCCCACCACCACCTCACAGTTACGAGGGACCACTGCCTCCGATTCACGGAATATCATACGCTTCTCCTCCGCCGCCTCCCTTCTATTGATTCATTTGAGATTTTTTCTCGCACGGGTCCCACCTAATTATGCCAAAACCCGAAACCGCAAAAACGTTGTCGTCTCAATAACACTCCATCAAATCGATAGAAAGATTCATAAACGGCATCGTTTAAATAATTTCTTGTAGAGTGGTTGGATAATTCTCTGAAAGATTTATTCGCCAAGGAAGAAAATTTTCAAAGAGGAAATTAGGATTTGCTGGGAAAAGTTGTATATATAGAGGGAATTAAAAAAAATGGAGCAACCCATCTTTATTCTTCTTATTATACACCACTCATTACTCTTGTTAATTAACTAATTTTAATAGTTATCATTGTTGCTTAAACTCAAAAAAATTCATGTTTTCTTTGGTCTTATATATTGAAACTATCTTTTCGGATTTCTCTATTTCATTAGTGCAATTTTCATGTGAGCATTTTTGTTTTAAAGTCCATAATAAATAACATGAAAGCGAGTGTATCCGGTATAAAGTGGAAAGCAAATTAAATCCGGTCCAGCGCGAAATGCATCGTTTTGATGATCAGATATTAGTAGGGCCAATGTCACATGTGCCCAGCACCACCTGACTTCTTGCTCTTCGAATTTATCACACCATCGGATCTTTATTTTTAAATTTTAAAGATTTGATTTGAAAACCGTTCAATTAGGGATAACTAGTATATTATTTACAAAGATTTTTTCGTTAAATCAGGCTAAAATTCGTGTTCAAGATTGAATTTATGAATAATCCTAGTTTGAAATTTATTATACTCATTCAGTTTTTAGTTTTTACCATGTTGGAAAATTAGACCTAGAATTACCTGCCGACAAAGTCACAAAAGAGACGAATTTATACTTCATATAAAATCTAACTAGATTCTAACCTGTGCATCCGCACGAGAATATTTTTTATTGTTTAACGAATTTTGTAATATAATTTGTGTTTTTGATTTAGATATAATTATTTTTATAAATATATTTTTAATAAGCGAAAATATTGATTTTTGTGTTTAGATATATTTTTATAGTATTAAAATGATTATAAAAATATAATTTTAACCCGTTAATATTAATTCAAAATGAACTATTATAAAAACATAATTCTAATTTTTCCGTTTATATTACCATATAATATAAATATTTGTTAAAAGTTTCAGATGTATTAACAGTATTACTTAGCATTATAGTTTTCTAAAAATTTAATCAACGAAGGAAGTGTACAACTGGTTTTTCAAACCACATTATAGTGTATGCAATAATTTTTTATTTTTTATGTTTTGATTTTGTATGAAAAATATATTTTTGATATACATGTATAATTCAAAATTAGTGATATTAGTTACCAAAATATTTTTAACCCGGTTTTTTATATATATTTTTAGTTCTATGAATTTTAAAAAATATATTTTTAATATTTAAATTATACATTTGAATTTTACCTATTATTTTATTATTAATTTGTAAATAAATCATAATCGTAATATATTATATAAACAACATAAATATCATATCATTTACATCATTAAAAAATATTTTATATTTCAAATATGATCATTATTTTTCATATGTGAATTTTTTTTTTCAAAAATTTTAGATATTTTTGATAAAAATGTTTAATAGTATAGAAATTATTTAAATTAGAATCTTTAAATCAAATCTAAATTAATATCTGATTTATTAGTTTTAATCAAATCAAATCAAATCTAAATTACCTATATTTAAGGAACTCTAAAACTATTTAATTAATAACTAATTTTCGAAATTAAATATAAATAATGATTAAAATTATTTTTAAACATTTAAAAAAATTAAGAGTGTTTGGAAGCAAATACTAAATGTGCTTCTGTTTTAATATAATAGATGAACAGCAAATCTAAATTTTGTTATACCTTTTGGTTATCCCACAAATTCTCTCAATCCTTTAAATAGATAACTAATCGGACGATTTATTTTTTTTGGAAAACTTGAATATTGTCTGGAAAAAATAAACATTGTATATAGTGACCATTCAGAAAAATAAGCATCAAAATACCCAAATGGGCTGAGAATAATGGATATTGGGCTATAAGTACATTGAAGAAGAAAACAAGAGAGTTACTGGACTAATTAAGTTTCTGAGTTTTGGTTTGTGAAGTAGCAAAACGATCGTTTTGGTTTTTTCTTTTCTTCTCTACATATAGATTCTAGTACATTTTTTTATCATATCTTTTTTTTTAGAATAACAGTAATAATAATAATAATAAAATAAAACATATAAATGTACCCCAAAAAAATTAATAATAAAGAGCTCAGTGATTTGCAGAACTCAGAAGAATTTAGAAGGACCATTCGAGGCAGTGGTGGAACCAGAATATTTTTTCATTGAGGGCAAAAATATTTAATGAAAACATATATATTATTTAGTGTAGGAGCAACTAGTTAATAATTTACACTAATTATTTTTTTTACTAAAGGCAGTTGCCTCCAATTCATTGTACATACCTCCGTTACTGACCAGGCTTCTAACGATAAAATCACACGGCAAAGATTTTCTTAAAAAAAAAAAGATTTTCTTTTACAAATGTTTTCCCCAAAAAAGTAAAAAATTCTCAATTGGAGTATTTGATATGATATTGACTCCATTACCGATTTGGCTCCTTCCACGTGTCCCATAATATAACCCACGTTACCATGCAAGTGTTTAGTTTAGAGTGAAGATGAGGTCTGTGTCGAAACTTGCAAGTCACGTTACGTTCTTGTGGCTTTTCATTTTATTTGACGTCCTATGTTAGTGTGACAGTGTCAATGACAAACTTTATTTGTTTAAACTGTGTTATACTTGACGACAAAAAAAAAAAAAACTGTGTTATACTTTTATAAAAGAAAAATGTTGGGATCCCATATACAAAATTGTGTCAATGTTTCTCTCCACCTTGGTGATATCAACGACGGTCGATCTTCCTATCTCCTAATGGGTCTTCACTTGGGCTTCTACTATTTTGGTCTGGTTCAGTTCTGATGTGTGTTATGTATTTGTTTCGGGTTATTCTCCGAGCATTTGCTCTTAAAACACTAATTCCGGCTGGGCTTGTACCTTTTTATTTCTCTTGCTTTATTTTAATAGAAAACCCTTTTCTTAAAAAAATACATATTTGGTGATTTTTATAATAAACAAAAAATAATAATATACATCGTTTTTGTTTTCTGAAGAAATATTTCAGAGGGTTTTGAGAAACAATGTCGCTAAAAAGGTAAATGTCTTATCATTTCTCCATCGTTTCTTCTGAAGAAGGCTTGTAGAGAAAAAAAATTTCTTCTCACATTCCCCTTCACATCTTTTGTTTAACGGTAAACGTAAAAAAATTAATAATATCGGGAAGAATTTACAAGGACCACGCTAGGCTTCTAAAGTTGCTTTTACAAATTAATGTTTCAAAAAAGAAAGTTATTTTTTTCCAATTTATGATACTAGTCATAATAATATTTGAGACAAATGCATTATTGGCTCTAATGAGATTTCTTTATATATATTAAAAAAATTTAGTGTAGTAGTGCATGCAGATATTGAATTTTACTTGAACCGAAGAAAATTTATTTTGAAAAAAATGGAATTAGTTAACTACTCGATGGTCCTTAATATGCAAAATATAAGCAATATAAAAGCAAAAAATAAGTAATATTTAAGAAAAAGAAATGACACCTTCAGTTTTAATATACTCACACGAAAGAAGTTGCACATAATTTTATTAATTTTATCCAACTCGAAGACGTTGTTAGGAAAGGGAAAAGTCTGATTGCTTTCAAGTTTCAGAATAAATTATTCAAAACAAGAAGATAGTAGAAGAAGAAGAACAAGTAAAGATACGAAGAACAGAGAATTCCTTCTCATCTCTCAACTCTCTCAAATTTCAAAATTATCTTTCTTCTCTTGGAGCTGGGAATTTCTCATTCCATTTTACGAAAACAAAACAATTAGGAAAATTCCAGGCCTAGTGGACTTCACTGGGTCATAGGTGAATACAGATTCACTTGGGGGTCTGGAAAGCAAAGCCTCCAACAATACAGTTTCCTTTTTGAGCTATATTTAGGTTTACTCGATAGTCCTTAATATACAAAAAATATAAGCAATATAAAAGCAAAAAATAAGTAATATTTAAGAAAAAGAAATGTCACCTTCAGTTTTAATATATTCACACGAAAGAAGTTGCACATAAGTCATTTAATGGCCGATCGATTTCATACGCTGGGACATAGCGTTTGCTTTGTATTTCATTATCGTAGCAAATGTCTTTTTGTCTAGGTATGCTCCAAGGATGGTTAGACTTTTTGACTGCTTTTTTTTAATTATCTTTTTTTTTTGTCATCATTGCATTTTATTAAAAAACATGAAAATTACAAGTGATGCCTGGATACAACATAATTGCTTATTTGCTCTCTGGCTTGTTTGCTAATCGATCTACTTCATCAACTAAATTTCTACCAACATTCATAGAACTAAAATTACAGTATTTAACTAAAAAACATATATCCTTTGTACAGGTAGCTATAGTAGACGATGTTATCCATTTAGGGGAATTCCAGCAAATTCTCATCTAACTCGAAGACGTTGCTAGGAGAGGGAAAAGTCTGGTTGCTTTCAAGTTTCAGAATAAATTATTCAAAACAAGAAGATAGTAGAAGAAGAAGAACAAGTAAAGATACGAAGAACAGAGAATCCCTCCTCATCTCTCAACTCTCTCAAATTTCAAGATTATCTTTCTTCTCTTGGAGCTGAGAATTTCTCATTCCATTTTACGAAAACAAAACAATTAGGAAAATTCCGGGCCTAGTGGGCTTCATTGGGTCATAAGTGAATGCGGATTCACTTGTGGGTGTGGAAAGCGAAGCCTCCAATGGTACGGTTTCCTTTTTGAGCTAGATTTAGATTTACTCGATAGTCCTTAATATGCAAAAAATATAAGCAATATAAAAGCAAAAATAAGTAATATTTAAGAAAAAGAAATGACACCTTCAGTTTTAATATATTCACACGAAAGAAGTTGCACATAAGTCATTTAATGGCCGATCGATTTCATACGCTGGGACATAGCGTTTGCTTTGTATTTCATTATCGTAGCAAGTGTCTTCTTGTCTAGGTATGCTCCAAGGATGGTTAGACTTTTTGACTGCTTTTTTTTAATTATCTTTTTTTTTTCATCATTGCATTTTATTAAAAAACACGAAAATTACAAGTGATGCCAGGATACAACATAATTGCTTCTTTGCTCTCTGGCTTGTTTTGCTAATCGATCTACTTCATCAACTAAATTTCTACCAACATTCATAAAACTAAAATTACAGTCTTTAACTAAAAAACATATATCCTTTGTACAGGTAGCTATAGTAGACGATGTTATCCATTTAGGAGAATTCCAGCCAATTCTCATCAAAGCTTGGATGTCATAAATTAAAACCTTTGAATCCCCTAAGAACATATGATTATAGTTAACTCTCCTTTACTCTTTAACTGCCATAAGTAAAGCAATCGCTTTGGCATGAAGAGGAGATATAGTAGGATCGATGGAAGACCTACCTTTTACCACATGTTGTCCTAGAGGATCATACAATGACCATGAAATACCTGCTCTATCTTCAATGGACTTCCACAATGCATCATCATCATCCTACAAATCAGTAAAGAAAAACCAATTAAGCACCCAATTAATCACTAGTTAAAAGCTGGGTTTCCCTTATCAAACCCAGCTTTCATGAAAATTTTATTAATTTTATCCAACTCGAAGACGTTGCTAGGAAAGAGAAAATTCTGGTTGCTTTCAATTTTCATAATAAATTATTCAAAATAAAAAGATAGTAGAAGAAGAAGAAGAAGAACAACAAGTAAAGATACGAAGAACAGAGAATCCCTACTCATCTCTCAACTCTCTCAAATTTCAAGATTATCTCTCTTCTCTTGGAGCTGAGAATTTTTCATTCCATTTTACGAAAACAAAACAATTAGGAAAACCCTGGGCCTAGTGGGCTTCATTGGGTCATAGGGCAACATTGATTCACTTGGGGGTGGGGTGTGGAGCGCGAAGCCCCCAACGGTACGGTTTCCTTATTGGGCTAAATTTAGGTTTTCCTTTTTCTAGTAGATTTGGGAGTCAGGTTTTTGGGGCTATAAATACATGGCTTAGTGGTTGTAATTATTCATTCAAACAATTAATAAGAAAACCTTAAACGAGTGTTTGCCTCAATTGCGATTTCTTTCTCTTAGATTATTGCTTTTTTTAGCTTGATTCACAACACCAAGAAATCTATTTACATGGATATCATCATCTAGGTTGTTTTTACGGTTTTTTGCATTATCTACTTAAAAGTGAAATTTGTGTGTGAGTGTATCTGGTATTAAGTGAAAACAAATTGAATCTGCTTCAGTACGAAACGCATTGCTTTGATGATCAAGTAGACAAGTAGTGCCAATGTCACATGTGCCCAGAACCACCTGACTACTTGCTGCTCAAATTTAGCACACCATAAAATCCTTAATTACCGCTTTATTTTTGTTTTGTTTTAATATAAATAGTATTATTCTGTCTATTTTAATATAATTGATGTTTAAATATATTTTTTTTTGAATCTATTCAAACATGATTCAACCAATTAAAAAACTATTCAATAAGAGATGAATATATTTATCTAAAATTATAGTTAAAATTGAATTTTGATTTCCTATGTGAAATTTTATTTTACACATTCAATGTTTATTGTATTGAAAAGTGAGAGGTAGAATTGTCTGCCGATAAATTCATAAAAGAGAAACATTTCTACTTATATGGAATGTATGAAATTCTTATTAAAAAATAAATTATGGGTATTCATCTAATTTATTTTTGTGACTATATTCTTCATTTTGCTATACCTTTTGGTCATCCTACGAAATTCCCTCAACCCTTTAGCTATTATTAATCAGATGACTTAATTTTGGAGAAATAAGAATATAAGTATATAGTTATAGATTTTGATTAGAAACCCATTAAATGATGGAACAAGTATATTTCTACGAAAATAGTTATATAATATAGTTTTATTTGTTATTTTTCATTTATCCTAAATTCGATGTCACTTTATTTTTTATCGCCATCGTTCGCAGTCGTTGATATGATATTTGATATTACTACAATGGCTCTCACAAGCTTGGGATTACTCACAAAAAGAGGTCACAAAATTTTGGGATTACATGCTCAAGTAACTAAACGATTTTGAAGATGACTTACCCAATTATGTGCTCATTCATTTGAGGAAATACTACCTTAATCTTTTGTTAGTGTTGCTTCTTGCTGCAGTGGGGAGCATACACGCAGATCACTTACAACATTGAAGGATTCCTTATTAGAGCTCTCTGCATATGTGGTACCATCCAACTCTACTTACCTTCTTTAGGTATGGACTTCAGGTATGTAGCACATCCATGTACCCATTATTATCATGTTTTATCACGTTATATACGTGAACTTTAATTGATTTGTAATGAGGACATCTACCTTGAAGATGATGAGCCCGAAGAGGAAGCAGAGCAAGACATCACAATGCCAACTATGAGAGAGGCTCCTCAGACATGTTCAAGAACAAGAGCAGCTCATGAAGCATTTGACAAAACATTCCGGAGCTTGTTCCAACAAATGGAGTCTTACAGCCATGCATCAGTAGAGCAAAGGATCTATGCTGAGCAACAAGTAAAGAAGAGGACCAAGCCATATTGGTAAAGGAAATGATCATAGCTTCGTGTTTCATCCACCAATCTTGTCCCTCAAGGAGATAGAATCGGAACAAGCACTAAAAGGCCTTGAAGTTAACATAGCCGAGCCTCAAGAATCAATTAGCACAAGCCCAACAATAAGCCAAGCGTTAATCTGCGTGAAATCCAACGAAGACAACTCCAAGGACCCATCAAGAGCCCAAGACAGCTTCAAGATTCCACACACTCCGCATTGGCCCTACATCACACCACATAAGGGAACTTGTGTCTTCACAATATCACCAAATTAAGGATGCACCGAGACACTTTTAAAAGCAAGGAGAGTATTTCAATTTGAATTTCTAACGAGTTTACTTGTTTGTTTTGCAGGCTTTGTCTTTTAGTCTTTTTATTTAGTCATTTAGAAACGTTTTGTTCTAGAGTAAAGAATTGTCTTTTATTTATTTTTCTTTGAGAGTATGTCGTATTGTTTTCTTTTCTTTTGCGTTTTGAGTCGAACCTTAGAAGGTTCACAGCTCACGGACTATTAATAAAGTCCTACACGCAGCTTTGTATCAACCAACCTTTTTCATTATCAATAAAGATCAAACTTTCTTCAAGAACTTGTCTCTTGAACTTTACCGAGATATTTAAGCTTGTGTGGATTCCCTTGCTTAGTGTTTCATAGACTTATCACAGTTTCACCATCCCCGTGTGGCGTCTATTCACCCCATCTATCGTGTTCTTCATCATCTCATTACTTTGTAAAGATAAGGAGAACTCATCGGCCGATTATCTTTGTCTCATCTCGATCTATACTTCATTCATCATCTCTTGGTGCAACAAGACGAGCCCTTCGGCCAATTGTTATACCCCATCTCTCAACACTTGTAGCATCATCTCTTGGTGCCTACATCATATTCTCTTTGTTTTAAAATAATTGTTGTTTACAATTTTGCACATAAATTAAGAAATTATTTAATTTTTATTTTTTCTATACTAAAAACATAATATTATCTATTCAAACATGATTCAACTAATAAAAAACTGTTTAATGAAAGATGAGTATGTTTATTTAAAACTCGTAGTCAAAATTGAATTTTGATTTCTTATGTAGAATTTTATTTTACAAATTCAATATTTAATATGTTGAAAAGTAAAACCTAGAATTGTCTCAATAAATTTACAAAAGAGAAGCGTTTTTTTTTATATGGAAGCTATTTAATCGGTATTAAACATTAAATTATGGATATTCATCTAATTTATTTTTGTGATTATATTTTTTATTTTGTTATACATTTTGGTCATCTCACAAAATTCTCTCAATCTTTTAGTTATTATTAATGATTTATTTTTGGAGAAACAAGAATATATATATATATATAGAGCCGGTTCTGTGGCCAAGCAGTACAAGCATAGACTTGTGGCCCTATTTTTTTATATAAAATTTTTCTTTAATTTGTGGCCATTTTTCTTTTAGTTATAAAATTATTCAGTTTCTTTAGTTAAAAAACGGCTATTTATTTTTTTTAGTTTGCGGTCACTTAAAACTCAAGGCGACTCTAATATATATATAGTTGTAGATTTTGATTAGAAACTAATTAAATGATGGAAGAGAGTAAATTTCGAAATAGTTAAATAATTTAGTTTTATTTGTCATTTTCATCTATCTTAAATCCTATGTCACTTTCTTTTTTTAGCCATCATTCGCAGTCGTCGATATGAAATATCAAAGGGTATGTGATATAGTATTGGATACGAGTTATAACCATGTATGTAACGTAATGTAGGATGCTCATACAGTCATACTCATACAAAATCTTTCAAAACAAGACAAAAGATAATAATTTCACTACTTTTTCTAAAAGCTTACAAGCTACTTCATTATTATATCATCATCTAATCTACGAATTAAAGCATTCTAGTAACTACGAAACAGAAAATAATAATTCTCAAAACGAATCTTTAGATATTATATAATGCCAAGATTAGTCTTATTAATCTTGTTATTTAATATATCCTCCATCGTAAACTGATAATGTCCGATCGTCGGCGGCGATTACTCTCCGGCAGCTTCTCCACCACTGGAACCACCACCACATGCCTCAAGCCGGCGACGTTCTCTCAATCTTCCCCACTCATGCATCGACAAATGAAGTTTCTTCCCGGCGAGAAGAAAATCCGCCGCTTGAACCGGCGTCAAAATGTCAACGATTTTAGTCAACGTGGACAACCTAAGCTTATCGGCTTCAGCAAGCAAACCACCCATAACCTCCTCGTGCTTATCAAGCGCACGCTCCACGTCAACGTCACATTCTCCGATCACCTCTTTGTAAAACGCCGTGACGGCAAGAGGCACATCCGCCGTGTCCTCTTGTAAACTCGCCGATTGCTTAGTCAGCTTATTCTCTTGGTCCACCGTTTTCAGATGTAGCTCGTTGATCTTGAATAATTGCTCAGCCGTTAGTTCACTCATCGGCTCTCCTCCTCCTCGTCCGTCTATTCCGCCACGTGTCTCACCTTGAGCCATGCTTAAATCTACAGAAGACCAACAAAATTATTAATTGCATATTTTATTATATTTAGTTCTGCTGTTATATTATTTAAGAAAATAAGAAATTTAACCTACTTTTGTTGACAAAAAAACCTAATTTTTTGAATCAAACGTCCGATAAATTATAAACCATAAATTCTGAAAATTAAACTCTAAATTACATACATCCTAGATTCGACCCTTCGAAAGTTTAACTATAAACCCCTAAATTCCAAATAAAAAGTTTTTTACTGTCGAAAAATTCCAAAGGTTTTTTGGCGACAAATTTCAAATAAGTAGTTTATCTTCTTAATTTTGAAAATTCAGCTATATATTAAATTATTTTTTAGAAAATTTTCCCAAATTTCTCTAGTAATGATAAACATAAGAAAAAAAAAGGTATTAGACTCTCCAATCTCAATTTTTTTGTTTTAAAGGCCAATCTCGAAAATTAAAATGCATGAAACCATTAAATTCAGAAAAGTTTGACTCTAAAAAAAAAACTAAAGTACAAGTACCTTTTGATAATAGTAAATCTTTACCGTCCATGTAAACAAGATTAGACACACTAAATCTTTACCGTCCGTGTTGCCGTTGAGGAAGTTAGCATAACGGAGCTCGGTTTGAGAACCACACAAAGCGTAAACGAGTCGTATAAACGAAGAAGGACGACAACCTCCCATCCAAAGAAGTGCGTTTTCAAGACACGTGTTCCATTTCGGCGCGAAAGAGTTTGAGCTATATCTCCGGCAGTGTTCCGACCGTTTAACGGCGTAATCTTTAAACTCTCCGATTACCGTTCGTATCATTTCTCGAATCTCTTCTTCGTCTTTTTCGCCGTTTGATAACGCTTGTTTCAGCTCCGTCATGCCTTTGGATTGTAACCTCATCCACTCGTTATAACAATCTCTTTGAAGTTTTTCGATATTTGATGAGCTCGGATTATTCTCCATTTGAATACGGAGTTATTATAAAAGCGTACTCTTATATTTTCTTTGTTTCCTGTCGTGCGCGCGGTTTATATAGTTTCAGAGTATGCACCAGTACGATTTTTTTATTTTTTTTTTAATTATACTTCTTAATGTTTGAAACTTAATTTATATATGTTTCAGGAAGAAAATGTGTGGTTTGCCGATGTCAAAAACAAAATAAATGCATGTACACACTATACATTATATGTGGTGGAATCACGGTTACGGAGGATTTGTTGTCGTTTTTGACCAAAAAAAATAATATACGTTGGCACTATTTTGGGTCGTTTTGAGATTAGTTTATTATGTTGTATCTTTTTATTAGATACAATAAATATCTGGTTGCACTCTTGTCTCACTGCAAGCGGTGATCATTGTACGTAGACGGAGAAGAGAGTAAACCTTTTGCTCTAGGTTACCGAAAGTCTCTAGGCCATTTGATGAGAGATATAAAAGAAAAAGACAAGAAGAATACGACAACGCAAAACTATGTACTGAGAATTTCCAGTTCAGAAGATACATGAAGAGGCAAAGTAAAATATATGATATATTCAGAATTTCCAATTCAGAAGATACATGAAGAGGCTTTAACTACCAAAGACTAGATAATGGACGAGAAAAAATGTCTTTTAAAATGACAACTTTATAAAGCTCTCTAGGGGTAAACCATTCAACAAAAAAAAAAAACTCTTACAGGTTTAGGAGATATCTTACAGGTTTAAACCATCTCTAATGTAAATCTTTATTTTTTACTTTAAAATAGAATTGTGTTATGCTCTAATGTATAATTCCATTTTTTACTCTAAAAAAGAATATTCCTAATAGATTCTATTTTTATTTTACTTTTAATAACCTATAACTTTTAAAAGTTACAAAAGTTACAAAATTTTTATGTTTATCTTTGATTTTAGCACTTGTTGTATATTTTCAGTTTATTTTAAATTGTACTCTTTTGAAATAAAAATTTTAGTGTTCAAATATTTATGATTGTCTATTTTATATTTTTTAAAACTATTACAGTTCTATAATCTTGTCAAAAAAATCTTATAAACATGAATCAAAAATAAAAACTTAATTATTAAACCGATAATTATATATATATATATAAAAGTTGCATGAAGACTATTTTTTAATTACATATATATAAAAGTTAAAGTAATATGTGTCTCACAAATATTAGGTGGATATCTGAAAAAATAAAATGGATATAACTATATAAATTGTTGAGAATGTTATTTGCTGTGTTGATAAAATGTATAAAATTATAATAATTTAATATTTTAAGGATTATGTTGTAAGTAAAAAAAGGTATAACTGTAAAATAAAGTAGAATAAAAATTTACTCTAAATATGGATCAATTTCTATTTTTTCTTTATTTTACAGTAAAAAATAGAATAGAATTGAAGTGAAATTTACTCCAAAATAGAGTTATTCTTTCCTCCGTTAGCACAACATCCTGCAGGGTTGAAGATGCTTTTAGATAATCATAAATCTCGAGTTTTAATATCCGGGTCGTAGACTACATTAATGAAGGGTTAACACGCTTACGGGTCCGTAAAAAATGAAAACAATATTCTTCTTTTTGTCTTAACTACGTACGCAAATAGTATCCTTTACAAAAAAAAAACAAAAAAAAACAAAAAAATAGTATCCTTTATATGACTACTGATTTTGTTTTTCTTTATAAAATTGCATTTTTTCTTTATAAAATAGCCTTTTCTAAGATATATTTAGATTTCTAACTGAACCATTCCATGGTGGTTTCATCAATGCTTAAATGAAAGATTCATTTAGAGGTTACAAGACCATGCATGTTTGGGTTCTAATATTTCTATATATTACAGCTAATTAAATATTTTTGCTATTAAAAAAGTTTATGAAAATCATGATCAGAGGTGTATCAGAAATTATAACCCCGTTTGTCTATAAAAATAAAATTTCGGATTTCTTCTCAGATTCTATTTACTAATTGGAATTAGGTTTGATTTATATATAAAATTATTTATGTTTACATTTTGATATGGGATTTGAATTGATATCTCGTTTGAAATGTAAACAAATAATTTAGCTGTGAGATTGTTTTATACAGTTAAGTTATATTTCTACTATACATATAACATTTATATACTTTATTTCATCAGAACAATTACGCATAAATGATATAGTAAACCAAAAAAATGACGTAAGTGTATTTTTTTCACTATTTTCACTTTGTTAATTGTTAAAACTAAAATACTACTCATTTCTTTGGTTACTCTTTATTCATTTTTTTTGTTATATAACTTTAACCTTACTCACCGAGCTACCGAATGCAATATATGTAAGTGTATTTTTCACTATTTTTCCACTTGTTAATTGTTAAACTAAAATACTACTCATTTCTTTGGTTACTGTTTATTCATTTTTTAACCTTAACCTTACTCACCGAGCTACCGAATGCAATATATTATATAACAATGTGAATGTTAATTAAGGGTCATTGAAAACCTTGAAGTTAATGTAAACTTACGCTACAAGGAATCTTCATTGTTCTCTCTTGTCTTGTTCCCATTTTCTCACCTGTCTCTCTCCACTCACCAAGTCATGTGCAGATGTATGTATGTGCTTTTCACTACATTTTTTGGTGGTTGGGAATCTCTTCTTTCTTTCGTTTTTGTTTGTTTATTATTGACAAAATTCCCGATCGTAAGAAATAATTTTCCATATATTGATATGTTTTTCCTTTCATATACAGTATATTGACATATTGATATGTTTACTTACCACCAAAATAAAACCCACACGCATATTGAAATCTCAAATAACAAAACAAAATTAGATTATATATCTTCAAATAATTGAAGAACGTACTACTGAGTTAAAAAAAATATATATCGAAAATAATCAGTAAAAAATAAAATTAGCTATTTCCAAGAAAAGAAAAATGGAAATTAGAACCTTTTTTTTCCTTAAATCTGTTCTATTTACAGTTGTTCATGGATAAATTTGGTACGGTAAATTTGTTACTATTTATAGTTGTGAACCTGGACAAGTACTTCATGAACGCTTTCCTTTTTTCAAAACTTTTCGTGTAGCCTAGTCGACACATGCCACACGTGTCTCGGTTTCCTATTATTTACTAGAAACAGAGCTGTAACGCCTGACGTACTCTTTTCTGTCTTGCAGTCACGTACGTGATGATCTTCTTCTTTATGTTTTTTTAAAAAAAAAAAATTACTCAAATCCAAATAAATGTAAAAACTGAAAACAGATTTTATCAAACTAAGATTTAAACTATATATGGGTCTGATTGGGTAACAGGTTTAGAAGAAACTCGAATTTCATTTGAACGATGTATCGGAATATAATATATTAATTCGTTAGATGTAGTTTTTTTCTATGTGATTAATGTTGTCTGTTGTAAAAAATCGAATTTCATTTGAACGATGGATATATATATCAATTTGTTAGATGTAACTGATGCTGTCTTCTCGTGTAATTGGTCTATATATCTCTCATTATATAAGCTTTGATCCAGTATATGACTAACTTTAATTGTTTTGTATTTTCAGTCTGCAGAAACGTTGCTTAAGTAATATGCACCAAGAAACATATGCATGCATATGAGCTGAGTTCGAACAATAATAATTTAACAGTGTACTTACCTGATCAGCATCACATTCAAACTTTTTTTTTTTAAAGTCCCATACTGGAAACAATTCATTATTCCTCCATATTCTTGGCCATACTTCCGATTATTTGCATGCACCCACCCTAAGCTTCTTCATGAACTGTTTCAAAAGTTTTTGTTCGATGAATTGTTTCTGTTTCTTCTTTTTTCAATTTTTCAAATCATATATATAAGTGTATAGCTTTGCGTTGACAACGGAAAAAAATAATAGTAGGAAGTCTATTAAAGGCCGACTATAGAAAACAAGAAAAAGAGCGAAGAAGCCCACTTAAGATATAGTTCTGGTCTCAAAATTATTGGCTTGTAACTTTAAACCAACCCAAAACAGCACTGCATGTTCATGTTCATGAATCACGATGTAATTATATTCATGATTTATGCCGTTTTTTCGAGTTTTATTTTTACTAAGCATCCACAAAAAAAATTAAAAGACTACAACTTTAGAACAGTCGCATTTTGTTACTTTTAATCTCTAGAACTAAGACAAACTCATGTTTGTTTTCCTAACGATTTCGATTATTTTAATTTTTCTTTGTTCATCAATAAGTAGAAATCTCTTAATATCTACAATATATTAGTTTATCATAACAAAAAGCTTCAACAAAAAGTTCAACATATGTATATAAAAAAAGGTGGATGGTATACATTCTAGTACATACATAAAGATAAGTAAAAGTACTATACATTGTACATAACCACATTAGTAAAGCTCGACTGTCAAGTTATACGTGGGAGATATGTTCCACGTTGACGCTAAGGATGGCTAAAAGAGCGACACGTGGGTCCACGTGAGCCATCTGCTCTGTGTTACCTGCCGTTTCGGGTCTGGCAGAGGTCAAAACCCGTATACCATTTTGTCCATTCTTCTTCACATTTTGTTTATTGATTGTTTCAATACATCAATTTCTGTAGCTGTTGAATATATAAGCATATATCTTTTCTTATATATATATATATATAAGTGGTTTAATTAAATACCATGAGAGACTTTTTAAAGTAGTTAATACTAATTTTGCAAAGCGTCACATATTTGCAGTCGGCGGGTGATGCGCGTAAGCCATGCAAGATGCAACTATTGTAGTCTCCCTTTCCCTTCCATCTGTTACGTCAAGGTTTTGATTTTTCTTTCATATCTAAAAATAGTTTTTACTTAAAATTATAAAATATTTTCCGGTGAGGCGTACGTAAATAACCTTTAGCAAAAAAAAATATACACGTAAATAAATATTTGTTACATAAATATTTGATTTACACTTGTTTCAATTTTGTTTACATATTTCTTTTTCTTACATATTTTGTTACGTTTACGTATATACACTAAATACATACCTACATTCATGTTGCACGTCCACATTCTCGGAGTCCTATTTTAGTCTATACATAAATCCACGTTAATATGACATATCCAAGATTAGAGGTTGATAGCTCCACTGAAAAGGTATATGAAATAATCTAAAAAATTACAAGATCGAGTGGTAGCAAAAACGGATAATAATATTGGAGGCTAGCTTGGATATAGGGAGATGTACAAGCTTCAGTCTAGGATCTTCTAGTTACCAAAAAAAAATTATGACTTCTCCAAGAGTATATCGTCAAACATTTATGATAGTGATTTTCTTTACTTTTTTTTGACAACGGATTTTTCTCATAGTGACTTTACATCAAATAAACACAGGAGTTTCTGTTAGTTTTTATTGGGCAGGACTTCTGTTCCGTAATTTATTTTCATTACCCATGCATATGCAAGTATTACAAAATTTTCGTTTGCGTTCGATTATTTCGTCTATTTATCAATGTGTATCAAAATTAATGTCATTTTATCCGAGAATTTGTTGGATGATTAGAATATTTGAATCTATTAATTTGTTTCATTTTTTGTTATTCATCTTATACTTTTTTTTGGGATAAAAGTTTTTTTTTCTAAACCGTGGAAGTTTTATAAATTGAATTAAAATAGTTATTCCGTAGTGTTAGTAATTAATATAAAACCATGACGATATAATAGAGTAGATAAAATATGATTAACATATACAGTACATTCACCATGCGTATATACACATGTATAAACGTATTATATGTAGAGAGACGTAGGTATAAATACTGTCACGGAATGCTAAATTTCATAGGGAATATAAAGAATGAAAAGCTAAATGAGAAACCGAATAGAAGAAAAGTTCCTCGAGTTCTACGAGGGTTGGATTTTTCAACTTGAGCAATATCTTCATCAACTCATAGTTGCTCATAACAACTACACCAACAACACTATGAGTGAGATGGAGCTACGAGGTATGATCTCGAAGCTAACTACGCATCACAAAGCTTACTACACAGCCAAATGGGCAGCGATAGGAGAAGACGTTCTGGCTTTCTTTGGACCGGTTTGGCTAAACCCGTTAGAGAGATCTTGTTTTTGGTTAACCGGATGGAAACCGTCGATGGCGTTTCGCATAGTAGATAGGCTGAGGAAGTCGTGGAGGCCGACGGTGGTTCTTGAGGAGGCTCAGGTGAAGAAGTTGGAGGAGCTGAGAGTTAAGACGAGGTTCGATGAAGAAAAAATTGAGAGAGAGATGGAGCGTTATCAGGTGGGTCCATGTTTTTCGTCCGTACGGATATCCGATTTTTAAAAACTCCTTTTTTCCAATCATTGAATAAATATGAAATGAAACTCCAAAATTTTTTTTTTTTTAGAGAATTTGAAAGCTTCCGAATTTTTCAGTCTAACCAACCGAAATCAACATTAAATATATATTTATTTAGATTTATACAAGCCTTGCAAATAATTTTGTTTAAAAACTTTTTAAATGACTTGAGATGTAACTTTTTAAATGACTTGAGACGTCTTTAGGTGGCTATGGCTGATCGGAAGATGGTGGAGCTGGCAAAGCTTGGATGTCACATCGGAGGAGAGTCTGCGGTGGTGGTGGAGGCGGCGGTGAAGGGGCTGGCGATGGCGCTTGAGAAGATGGTGAAGGTGGCTGATTGTGCGCGGCTGAAAACGCTCAAGGGTATTTTGGACATTTTGTCTCCGCCGCAGTGCGTTGAGTTTTTAGCAGCGGCGGCTGCGTTTCAGGTTCAGTTACGCAGGTTGGGAAACGCAAGACATCATGTCACTCACTCCTATGGTTCCTGACACACTCGAGTGTAGTTTTGCTTCTTCTCATTTACTGTTTTTTTTTCTCTTATAACTTCCAATAACTGCCTCTTTTCTTCTGTGTTAAAAACTTTTTGTAAAAATATATAAATATGAATAAAATCAACCGGATGTTCAAAAAAAAAGAAAGAATAAAATCAACCCGAAAAGACATTGTCCGGTTACAAATCCAACCCTCTTTTCTTCTGTGTTAAAAACGTTTTTTTTTTTTTTAATATATAAATATGAATTAAATCTTGGGCATTGTCCGGTTACAAATCCGGTGAACGGACAAAAGACACGGAGAGAAAGACAAGAACGGTAATCGTGAATAACATTTCTAAGAGCTTATAACAATTGTTTTAAGTTTGTGTTAAAAACTTAAACAAGTTTGGAACTAGAAAAGAAAAATTGGATAATGTAATAATCTCATGTCATGAAATATATTTATAATATATGAAGTTTTCACGATGTGAAGTTACAAGTTTGTTCCACACGCAATGAATCTGCATGGTGTCGCGGATACCCGCTCGTTTGTCAAGAAAAGAGGTAGATTGTAAGACTCTTATCGATCTCGTTAAAAGATAAGATAGGAAAATTAATACACATCTCGAGAACATTGTTGGAAGCATTCACAAATGGCAAATAATGTTCACATGGTTAAGAATTGAATTAGCTTAGTCACTAATCAGTTAGCAAAATTGGCAAACTATGCGAAACTGATTTTTATCTCTTCCGCCCAAGGATAACAACTCTTCTTTGAATTTTATTTTGGTTCTATCTCTCATCCCATATGAAACATTTTCAATCTTGCTTGGTTCCAGTTCTAAATAAGTATATAAAAGTATATTGTAATTTGTAAAAGCTTTCTTTCTTAGCTTAGTAGTATGTAATCAGTTTTTTTTTGGTATATAATTTTAAAATTAAACACCCCCAAAAAATGACAAACAGTCAAGATCAACTATTTTGCCAATCTTATTTTTATCGATGTATTAACAGTTTGTTATTTTATCACTCTGGTTCTGTTCGCGACTCTATCGATGGTGACAGAAAAAAATAGACTCTAAATTAATGAATATAAGTTAGAAGAAGCAGTGCAAATTTACTGTCGACGAAGGTGTCGTTGGTGGCACTCAAAGTTAATGAAAAAAGCTAAATTACAAGTTTTCTACATCAAAGAGTAAAAAACAAGTGGAACCTAATACGTGATTAGTCTTTAGTGTATGTCTACGCTATGTTATCATTATACAAACACATATCGGAAGTCGTATATATATCAAATCCATCGAGAAGCAAACACTAATCAAAACAAACTGAATGTGAAGAAGAATCAAGAACCAAAAGTTCGTTTAAGAAAACTGATCCAAGAACCAAACCAAAAAAAAAAAAAAAATCGGTACAACGTGTAGAGAAAGAGCATTAAATGAATAAGAGAGACACCTCTGATCGGCTTAGCGGGTTTGATTGAGGGCAAAACCTCTGGTTTGGTCAAGTTGCTTCAGAGGACAAGATCTCGAGTTCTGCCCACCAAAGAGGAGAGGATCTTGGAGTAGCCTTTTCAGGAGTTATGTTAATAACTTCTTTTAGTTGCTCTGCTACAGCTTTCATTGAAGGTCTTTGCTCTGTTTTCAGACATTCTCGTATCACATCACAGATCACTTCAAGCTCTTCGTCTTTGAATGTCTTTAACGATGGATCTATCATCTCTCCTAAATCGTCGTTTTCTAGATACTTTGATGCCTGAAACATTGTCAGAACCGTTAGTATACGGACAATATCCTCTGTTTTTTTAGTAGAACAGAGGTTTTAATGCGTACCCATTGTTCGATAGATCCGTATTCGTCAGAAAATGAGAGCTTTCCAGAGATTATCTCGAGCATTAAGAGTCCGAAGCTATGGACGTTAGTCTCTGGTTCCGGAGGTAGTAGCAATGATGCTTGCTCTAAGTCACCACTCACTTGTTTTTTCGGATTCAATCTCGCCTCTAAGTTGAAAGGAATCTCCGAGACCTGCAAATTCGGTTACACAAAATCCTTTTTAGCAGCTTCAAGACAACTTCTTTAATAAAATTTCAGAGATTTCTTGATCTTTAAAACGGATTCAGTAGGTTTCTTGATCTTTAAAACAGATTCAGGGGTTTCTTGATCTTTAAAACAGATTCAGGGGTTCTTGAGCAAATTCATCTTAGAAACGTTGTAATACAGTTTCAGAGATTCTTGAGCAAATGCTGCTTAATAACAACACTTTCAAAAACAGTTTCAGAGATTTTAGAGCCAAACCTTGGCTGCGTAGTCATCTGTTAGGTATATTTCCGATGAGTTGAAGTCAGAATGTGCCATGGGTGGATTCATCTCGTGCATATGTTGCAGACAATAAGCAGTTCCCATTATTATTCTCATCCTTGCGCTCCAATCAAGGTGCTCCATCTCCTTATCTGATAAGGCGGATTAAAACGTTGTTAACTGAGAGAGTGAAGCCAAGAGAACATCATGAGATCGAGACCAATGTTTTTTTTATTTTATTTTACCATGCAAATGCTCGAAAAGGGTTCCATTTGGAGCATATTCGAAGACCATCATCCTGTTAAAAGGATCATCTTCTTCACAGTATCCAATCAGATTCACAAAGTTCTTGTGGTTGATCCGCGACAGTGTATCAATCTACAAAAACACATTCACTAACTCTAGGTCAAAAAAATAAAATAATAATAGCAAGAGTAACTCTAAGATGATTTCTTGTTTGTCAAGTTTGAGTAATTAACCTTTCTACGGTATGCCATTTCCATGGCTCTTGTCCATTCTTTAGACTCAGAAATCGCTGTTGAAGCCACAGCGATCTCAACACCACTAGACAAAGTTCCTTTATACACAGTGTAACCATCAAACGCCTCGATGATATTGCTGAAATCCTCACACGCTGTTTCTAGCTCAGACCGGTTCAGCTTCGGTACCCCTATGAAAATATTCACCATATTCTCTCACTTTCAATGTTAATGTTCTCAAAAGAAACAGAGTAAAACAGAGAGAAGGAGGTTTTTACCGGTAACAAAAGCTTTCTGCAATTGTCCACTAAGACCAGTTTTCCAAGGACCTATGCTCTTCACAGCTCTATTCCGGCAAAAGAATATAACCGCGACTATAACAAGTAAGCCGACGAAAGAAGCAACCGCGATAACCACATAGAGCCACACATGTTTCGATCCTTTTGACTGTTTATTATCTTGTGGCTGATTCTTGGAGGAATCTGGATTAGTTTCCTCATCAGGAGAAGGTAAAGGAGGGATTCTCTTCTTTGCATTAGTTACTGCAGGGTAAGACCCGCTACTTCGAGGAGAAGCTTCAGTGATAATCCCTGGAGAAGGACTAGGAGAGGGAGGAGCAGTCTCAGCAGCCAAATTACTTGCCTCCTCGAGTAACTCACGTCGTTTGAAGATATCTGTTTCTTCCAAAAAACCTGCAAGAATCAGATTTTAAGCCTTCAAAAGTACTAATCTTTAGTTTTTGAGGTAACAAATGCTAAAAAATCCGAATTGTGTTTTTTTGGCTTTACTTGGGAATGCTTTCAAGACACGTCTTGAGGTTGCTTTGATCCGGAATACAAAAGCTTCTACCTTTTTTACTCGAATGAGACGGTTTCTTGAAACACTGCCAAGAAAGATCCGGTTAGAAGATCTTATATGGTGTTAGATTGAATCAGAATATTACCGAGCTTACCAGTGTCCAAGTTTTCTATTTGCACAGCCAAGAACATCGAAAGGAGAGTACTTTGGACTCTTGTTTAACAGCGATTGAAGTCTCAGGACCCTTATTCTCATATCACCCGAAAATTTGTTACCAGAAAGCAACCTGGATCAGTTCAAATCAAACGGAACTTAAGGTACATTCTTAATTGCCAATACAATTTGTTAAGCACTGGAATTAAACTCACAAGTGTTTTAGTGAATAGTCATTGCTTAGCTCCGGTGGAATTTGTCCGCTCAAGTCATTGTCTCTCAAATCCAAGACTTCCAGATTTGTGAAACTCCCATACTCCTTTGGAATTCCACCGTAGAAATGGTTCCTGGAGAGTATTCTGTAAGAACAAGAAGCGGTTTAGTCACATAAAATCAACCAAAAGTCGAAAATATATAGCCAAGTTGAATCATCAAGAAGAAGTTGTAGATATCCCTTACAGAGATTTTAGGTTACTCAATTGGCTAAGTTCCGGAGCTAACGTTCCTTTTAAAGAACATCCGCTAAGATCCCTAAAGAAACACATAGAGATTACATCCAAAAAAAAAAAAAATTGATCAGAATATTGAGACACTAATGATCTCATATCTTCATAGCTTAGTCTAACAGAGGAACTTACAGAATCTGCAATTTACCGTCAACACAAGTTACCCCTGACCAAGAACAGAGATCATTACCAGAAACATTCCAATTTGCAAGAGTTCCGTGAGGATCCGAGTCCACTCTTTCCCGGAATTTCAACAATGTGAATCCTAAATTCATCAAAAACTAAGATCCAAAACCCTAAACAAATCATTAAAATAAAATAAGAAGAAAATAGGATTATAAAAATCTAACCTTGGGAATTGATAGACAATGAGAGAGGAGCTTGAAGGCTAATGATCAAGAAGAGGAAGCAAGAGTAGTGGAATCCACAACCCATTATAAGGTTTTGTTTTACAACAAACACTATACTAAAAAAATTTCTAATTACAAATCAAAATCCAAAAAAAAACCCATTTCCCAGAAACAAAGCAACAAAGTTTCTCTTCTATACAACCACAACAAACAAAAAAAAAACTTTTATCTTCTATATATTACAATTTACAGAAGGAAGAAAATTCTCGGATATCAGGGTCCTTCAACATTTTCAGGGTTGAAAATTAAATTCACAAAACCCTTTTTATCACAATGTTCATCTCTGGGATCTATACAGCTCGTTGTTTCTTAATACCTGACAAGACACAAACAAAACAAAAAAAACATAAAATTTAGATGCAAATTATAAACAATAATTACGAAAAAGTAAGGGATGCCTTTTAGAATAAGCAACGTATACAATACCCCAAAAAAATCATCTTTTAGAACCTCTTTAAATGACGAACATTGCAAATTACGTAAAGGAATCAAACAAATGATTGGGAAAAAAAAACTTACTGTAAAAAGGAATTCCTTAGAATGCGTATGTATTGTTATGTTTCCGGAAAAAAAAAAACAATGAAGAAACCAAAAAATGGGTAGGGCAAGAGAATGTTGGTGGGGGGGGGATTAAGAAATCAAAATATCCCCAGAAATCGATAACAATTATATAAAACAAATCCAAATTTTTTTATTTTTTTTGAAAAGTCGATTTCTTGTTTTTGCAGGAAGATGATGATCTCAGAGTTTTCTCTCTTCGACCATCTTTGGTCTCTCCAGGGCCAAAGGGTGGTGCCTTCTCTCTCCTCCCTCTCCCTTTTCTTCCCCTCTCTCTCTTTCTGCAGATTTTTTTTATTATTATTTCGAAACCAAAAAAAAAAAATCCAATTTTTTGAGTCCCTAATTCCTTGTAATTTGCTTCTTAATTCTCCAAATTAAATTACAGATGCTTATTGTACTAAGACACGTCACCTAATTGTGTAAAGATTTTAAAATGTTAAATTATTAGAATAAATGATTATGTGTATTGTAAGGTGTATTATTTAAACAAGATTGGATTTCGACAGTGTTAGTGGAACACATGAGACGTGCCTGCCGTATACTTTACTACTTAGTAGGGCCGGCAAGAAAATCCTAAATGTCTCTGACCGTTGGATATCATTACTCTAACGGTATCTAACGGTTCTAAAATCGTATGCCCACTGGAAAAAATGTTTTTCAATTGATATGCATGAACATCATCACTACATGCCTCCCATCACTACATGCCTCCCATCACTTATCTTTTTCCGTCAAGATCAAATGTGCTAAGCCAAAAAAAGTCAATTATACATTTATCTGAGATGAGTGGTTTAAGTTTGATTACTGCTATAGATCCCGGTTTAATTGGATAAAACCGAAATTTCTTTGTCAACGAGGTTCAAATCAATTACTGAATCTATTGTGAACCAGTCTGGTTATGCTGTGTAATTATCCCGGCCTTAACCGGATAAGTCAGAACCGGTTCGCCACAGAATACATAATTTATCAAGTATCAACCATCAATAACATAGATCCTCAATTACAAAATATGTGGTCCGAAAAACACACGCCGCAATTATAATTAACACACGAAAATTTGAGAAAAACAAAAAACAAAATCAATCTCGGGTAAATTCGTGTTGCCTGCGAGAAAAAAACAAGAGGCAAGTTTTATAACTATTTATTAATTTAATTTTACTGTAAAAACAGAAGTAACTTTCTGGTTTTATGTATTTTGCTGGCGACATGGATGAACAATCAGCTCCTGCATGGAAATTCACAAGGAGAAGATATATATATAAATTAAATGTTCAATAAGACAAAATGTATTTTGTGTAGAAACAAAAATCTTCAAAGAGTATTTAATACCTGAGAATAACGAACGTGATCGTTGTGAACATACGATGTTTTAACGATCGTTTCCCATTTCGTAGATTCAAGAATTTCTTGATTCATTTTCTTGGAATCAACTTGACTTAAAACGACGCTGTACGGTCTCGGGCTCGCAGGCGCGAGGAGTGTTCGTCGGAGCCACGGTCGAGACGGGGTTTCTGGTAAAGGCGGCGGAGAAATCGCCGCCGCATATTCCGGCGACATTTTCAGAAGATTCCCTGACCTGTTGATGCTGCTGCTTCTTCTTCTTCTGTTTACTTCCTCCACAAGAAACCTCGAGTCGTGAATCGTCCTCGAAGGAGTTGAGATCGAGTTTCTAAACATTCTGATTTCTCCAGAATTTGAATAGTTAGGAAGAATCTCTCTTTTTGTTCTTGTTGGATACAGTTCTTGAGACTTGCTTATTCCTCTGTTTAGCCTTTTGAAGCTCTCTGGTTTCTCTGGAGCTCCAAGAAAACCGGTTTCCGAACAAGAGGTTCGGTAGGGAGAGATAAAACCGGAGAGACGCCTAGTCGACCAGTTTGGTAACCTGGTTTGATCACCCGAATGTTTGAGAACCCGGTTTAATCCTGGATCCAAAGGAACCGGATTTAGAATCTTGAATGAGCTCTTAGCACAAAGCCTTGGCAAGAATCCACAAGCTTTCTTGATAGTGACCTTTGGGTGGATTCGGTGATCATCTTGACCATCATCTTCCTCCTCCTCATCGTCGTCGTCATCATCATCGATGTTTAGATCATCATAAAGGCTCTGAATAATGGCGAAATGTTCATGTTCTGCGACTAATTGACTTCTTTGGCGAGTTACAAGAGCTTCTCTGTTCTGTATGGTTTGCTTCTGCTCTGAAGAGTTAAAGGCAGAAGAAGACTGATGTTTCTGATGTGTGAAAGCCATTGCTTTAGCAGCTGGTAAGAATCTTGACATCATTAGATCGAGACTTTCTCTAGACGACACATCATCGTCAGATTTCTCACCGTTCTCGACTCCGCTTGTGCTGCAATTAACAGAGAAGCTTCCGTTTGAAGAAACTGTATCCAAATCTTCATCTTCGTCTTCATCGGTTTCTAGTAAGCCTGATTGTTGAATCAATGTAGCCATGTCTTCTTTTGGTTTTCCAGGGATCTGTTCCCACACAAAAGGAACTGAAACTGGCTCTGAGAGATGATCGAAGCTCTGGTCTGGTAATACAAAAACCGGCGTTTCTTGTTCTTTGCTCGGACATGATCGAAGCTCTGGTCTGGTTATGGTCATCTTCTGGCTCTTCTCTGATTCACTTGAATGCTCTATTTTACTTGAAATTCGCCTTATTGATGGTAAGGGAGCATACAAATTCAATCTCCTTCCCTCCATTCTTGAAAAACCAAAAAAAGAGAGAAGAAGTATAAAGAAACAGAGTTACAAAAAAAGAGAGTAAAAGAAACAGTGTCTGTGTTTTGTCTCCGTTACAGATCTAACAATTAAAGAACTAAAGTGAGAAAATAAAAGATCATAAAATATGGAAACGAACATGAAAAAGAGATCAGTCTATGATCAGACAGAAGCCATTAAAAGACCTACACTGAGTCGAATCAAGAATCAGAGACTAATGATCTCTTCTTCTGCTGTGTTTAAGGTTGTAGTTGTTCTTATCAAAAGTAGGAGATTAATAAAGTAGAAAAATAAAAAAGATATTGTATATATATATCGCCGAATGTTTGGGGCCGAGATTGAAGGCTTGAGTTTAGGGAAATAGCAGATGAATGTAGATAAAGAATTGTCAATAAAAGAGACTTTTCTCTTTAGTTTTTTTTGTTCCCTTTCTGAAATCAATTTTCAATTTTATGTAGATCTTATGTTTTTTTTTTTCATTTCATATGAGTCATAATCAACAATAAGAGCTACAAATAACAAATCACATCACCGCAAGATTTGATTGAGAATTAATGATGAGACCAACAACTACTTTTGTTTTGCTGTTGGAACTTTAACTGCTGTGCATAGACGTTAAAAATTAGAATACAAGAAGATCAGAGACAAATTTTTTGGCATTAATGAAAATGATTCCTCAGGCAAAACGTGAGGAGTGGTTGTGTTTCAAGTTTCAACTATTCTTGTAAAAGCAATCAACAAATAAAATATAAAACTAAAAAAAAAAAAAACCTGATGTTTTTTAGGAAAAAGAAAAAGGTTTTTGCTAAAAATAACCTAAAACTTGACTTTGAATACAAAAGTAGATCCCTGAAAAAACTTTTGACAGAAATAACCTAAAAGGTAGTGAAAAGACCATTTAATCTTGTATGACTAAACAAAAAACAGATATCCTAATTACCGTTTACACCCTCACGAAGTCTACTAAAGAGAAAAAGAAGTCTAATAGTAGACTTCGTTTATAGAAATAAAATCTACTAAGTAATTAAATCAGGAAATTTAATTGAAAATTTTTAAAAAATTATTTTCATAAATTCCGTAATTGTAACCCAAATGAACATAAATTATTTTTTCATATTGATAAATGGAAATTTTTGTTTTAAATTAAGAAGAAGAAAATCTATTATTTAGTTTTAAAATTTGTAGACTTCTATATTGAAGTCTGCTAAACCGAATAAATTAACCTAACCAAAATTTAAACCGAAATTAAACCAAAATTGAACCAAAAATAACTATTTTAACCGAAAATTTTATCGTATTATATAAACAAACGAATTCTAATAAAACCCTAATTTTATCCAACAAAAACTATACGGCGCTTTCCTCTGGCCTCCATCCCCTCTCTCACCATTGTTTTCGAAGCTCAGAGATCTGGTGTCCTCCCTTCTCTCTCTCTTTCTCTCTCTTCGATAAGCATCTTCTTCCCAGTAATGGAGACGTCTTCGGCGATCTCGATCGGTACTTTTTTGAAAGAGCATCAGAAGATCCACAAGGAATGGTTCAACATCGCCGATTCAGGTTTCAATGTCTTTCCCCTTTTCAGTTTGATTTACTAGACTCGCGTAGTTATTATACTGTTCTGATTTTGGTTTCGCTTCTCTGAAATTCAGATGGAGATGGTCGTGTTTCCGGAAACGATGCTACAAAGTTCTTCGCGATGTCAAAGCTTTCTCGCCAGGAACTCAAACAGGTTATTATTCATACGAATCCACAATTTTGTGTAATATATGCTATTTAGTATTAAGGATTGATTTGATGATTTCATGAATCCATGGAACATTGTCTCTGGCGATATCGCCAAGCAGAACCGTTCCGTTTGGTCTGTTAAACGGAGCTCAACCACTATGATTTGCTTCACCACTTGCTTTGGTATACTCTCGCTCTCTCTACTAGATCCCGATCTGGAAATTTCTCTACTTTCTTAACTATGCTCATAAAGTTGCTATCTTTCGGGAAATCTGAGGTATCCCCTTTCTCTTGTAATCTTTTACTTCAAATACAGCAGCTTCTGTCAGTCTCTCTCTCTCTCTCTTGCTTTCTTCAAATGTTCTTGCTTCTGGGTATTTTGTGAATGCAAGATTCTGAAATCTAGGATATTTTCTTTGGTTAGTTCTTTACTTCTTAACTGATGTTTGCTCTTAGTTTTGCTTAAAGTGCTGTCATTTGGGTTTGGGGCTAATGATCTATTGGTTTAAGTTATATATCGTGTGTTTTTGTAGATTTTAGTTTGATTTTTAGATCTGCAATTATGTGTTCGCTGATCTGTGTTGTTTTGCATCTTCTTTAGTATCATATCATCTGCTTAAGCTCAGGACTTCGACTTAACCCGTTTTAAACAAATCTTCAATAAGCAAGCAGTTTCACCGTAAAGATATATTCATAAGCTACCATGCCAAAGATGATGTCCAGACACTTACGCGGGTGCTCTCTTTCATAATAACAGAAACTATCATATCTCTGCACATAAAAACAATGTAAGTAGCCTACTAAATTCCAATCCCACACGTTTCTTCCTTTGATTTCATCATTTGAAAAAATTCAATCGATAAACATTACACATGATGTTCTGGTGTATTGGTCTTCTTCTAGATGCCTTCCTCACAGAGACCACCTCGCTAAAAGCCTCCTAGATTTGGTTCCACTCCACTCCTTTGGCAAGTGTCTAAACAACGTCGGTGGCTTGAACTCAGCCCTCTCCATGTATCCAGAATGTGTCGCCGAGTCCAACGCCGAGCCAAAATGGTACGACCATCTCCACTGCGCTATGTCACACTACAAATTCGTCCTTGCAATCGCAAACACAGCCACTGAGTCGTATGTGACCGAGAAGCTTTTCTATGCGCTAGACTCTGGCTCTGTTCCGATCTATTTCGGAGCCTCTAACGTGCAAGATTTTGTCCCGCCTCATTCCGTGATAGACGGTAGCAAATTCAGTTCTGTGAAGGAATTAGCAGCGTATGTGAAGCTGCTCGCTGATGATCCCGTGGCTTACTCCGAGTACCACGCGTGGAGGCGATGTGGACTAATGGGGATCTATGGGAAAGCTCGTGCGGTGAATCTCGATACGTTGCCGTGTCGGCTTTGCGAATAGATTAGCAGAAGAGGAGGGAAGAACGCCGGAGCTTAACGAGCCACCGGTTGTGTTGGATTGTTATACTCGGAGTTTTTTTATGTTAATGTGATTTCATAACATGTATCTTTTATACGACAAGTTTTTTTGTCCTCTATAATCTCACACCAGAAAGTAAATTCATTACAAATCATGTGATTACAGGACGAAAACAGAATTATTCACATGGTGTCGAGTTACGGCTTAGATGATAGATCTTACCCAGCTTTCTTAGTTAAGGGAAAAAAATTGGTCATACAGAACTCACAGAAAAAGAATAAGACTATAACAAATACATTATTAGTAAGCAAAATTATGACCACATTATTGCAAAAACATAATTAACAATTTTTCTATATATAAGACTTCGTGTGCATACTTCATCCGTAGACTGTTGGAGAAGTCTACTTTTACAAGATAACTAACTTATAAATCAAAAAATTCGATTCCACAATAAATATTGAGTTAAATCAAATGAAAATCATTGAGTAGTTCAACCACTTGCTAACATGCATATCCAAACCTAAAAAAAAAACATTATAAATATTTTTGAAAAACATTTTTTTAAATAAATACAAAAAGTAGACTTCCCGATTAGACTTCAATAGCAGACTGCTGGAGAAGTCTACTTTTATAAGCTAACTAGCTTAAAAATAAAAAAATCTGATTCTGCAATAAATATCGATTTAAATAAAATGAAAATGATTGAGTAGTTCAATCACTTGCTAACAAGCATTTCTAAGCCAAAAAAAATTAAAAAATACTTTATAATTGTGCCTAAAATGCGTTTTTAAAATAAATGCAATAAGTAGACTTTTACAACAGACTTCAAAAGTAGACTGGAGAAGAAGTCTACTTTTTCATAGGGAAGTCTACTAAAGAAGTCTACTTAAAAACATGTTATTTTTGCAATTGACCAATTCGTTGACTTTTCCTTGAGTAGACTTCAAAAGTAGACTTCCAGCCAAAAAAGTTACTTTAGCATTTGACTGAGCCATTGACTAACAAAGTAGACTTCTATTGTAGACTTCATGCAAGAGTAGACTTCTCTGACAGTCTACTTTTGAAGTCTACTTTTTCAGTAGAAGTCTACGGAAAAATATAGGTTATTTTTGCAATTGAATTTTTTGAGTAGACTTCACTGTGAAATCTACTCAAAAAAAAATTCTTTCTAAGTTTGACCGAAAAATATAAGTAGACTTCCCAAAGAAGTCTACAGGTTTTAGACTTCTTTGGGAAGTCTACTGAAGTTTTTCGGAATTTTTTGAATTTTTTATTTTTTTTAAAAAAACTGTAGTCAAACAATGACACATACGTTTTTGGTCAAACTACAAAAGTAACTTTAACGTAGACTTCTTATGTAGACGTAAACAGTAGACTTCATACGGAAGTCTATATTAAAAAGTCAAAATACAGTCAACTACAAAAATAACATATTTTCTTTCGTAGACTTCTTAAGCCTTCAAACGAAGTCTACTAGGTTTTTTTTTTCAAGAGATATCGAGTAGACTTCTCGTGAAGTTTAATGAAGTCTACTTTTAAAAAGTCAATTGCAAAAATAACCTTATGTTGACTAGTAGACTTCAAATGAAGTCTACTTTCGCGATATAAATATAGATATTACAAAAATTAAAGTGTATTATTACCTATATCAGTTTTAAGTTTGTTTTTAGGTCTCTCATGCACCCAAAACTCTGAATTTGACCAAAAAAAAACAACCAATGTCTTGATTAAGCTGAAATCATCAAAAATGCATAACTTTTGTTATTGTAACTCAGCTCAGAAGTTTTAGAGAAGAAATTAGGAAATAATATGGAAGGTTATGAGTGTATGAGCTTTCATATTAACTTATTACATCTTTAAAATTGGTTGAGAAGCATTTATTCTATTTGTGGGGTTGTTTATGATGGTTGAAGGTATTGAAAAATATGGCATTATTGTAATAAAAAGGGTTTTAGAAGATCTAAAGAGACTTTAGCGAATATTTAAAAAAATCGAAATAATGGATTTATAATGATATTTTCGTTAATATCTTGAATGAAAAGAGTAGAATTGTGATAAAATGACAAAAGTTGGGGAGAGAAAAAAAAAGTTATTTTGATGTTTGACTTTAATTTTTTAAGGTTAAATTGAAACTCTTCCAAAATAAAAAAAAACTTTGATGTGAGCCAAATAAGCACTAACTGAAGTGGACCGACTTCATTGGTAATGTAACACATGTTGTTCTGTCCTTTTCCGAGCCACACAACGTTTAATGGTGCAGTGCACTAATCTTCTTTCTTTTCTCCGAAGGCATTAATTGATATTTGTTCAAAGTCTTTAGAGAAAAGTCTAGGCCTCTCCTCGATGGCTGATATACTCGATTTTAGAGTAATTTAACATTTTTATATATTAAATTAAATTATTAATAAACAGAAAATATGAAAATAGGATTGACTTCTAACTTCTGATTATCTAGGAACAAAACACTATTCAAACGTCCGATTAATGTTGTAACTTTTTTCCTAGTATATAGAAGATAACCAACAAATTAACATTTGACAAAAAGTTTCTCATTTTCTTGGTATTAGTCTAATAATCTTTTTAAGGAAAGAGGTTATCGACAGCTTCTATTCTAGCTCTAATACTTAGACCATCATTATCGCTAATACCCCATTAAGGGTTCTTATGTTTATTTTATTATTAATTTTGGAATAAGAGTTTTGATTAAGAACCTTCTTAATTATAATGGTTTAGTGGTAAAATCTAGATTGGGTTTCTTAAGGAAAATATTTTTTTAAAACAAAGATAATAATTTGATTATAACATAAACACACTCTTAACATAAAATAGAAATTAACATTCTTAAAATAAACACAATCAAACATAAAATTAATTCGTAAATGAAATTTAACAACGTGAACTCAGATGTCTTGATCTCATCCAAATTTTTGCCATATATTCTCAATCAAATCCTTATTCAATCGTTCATGGACTCCTGGATCCCGGATTTTTTTTCGAGTATCCATCATATTGGCAATGTTTGTAGGCATAGCCGTTGAATATGTGTTATCCACATTTGCACTTCCGTCTCCTTCTTCTCTTTGGAAATCTGACACATCTAGTAGATTGTATCCATCTCTTTCATCTTCTACTATCATGTTGTGGAGTATGACACAAGCTCTCATAATTTTACCTATTTTTTCTTTATCCTAAAAAAGAGCTGGATTTTTAACAATAGCAAACCGAGCTTGCAATACTCCAAAAGCACGCTCCACATCTTTTCGGACAGATTCTTGAACTTCAGCAAATTTTTTTGCTTTTCGGCCTTGTGGAAGAGTAATAGATTGGATGAAAGTTGCCCATTTTGGATAAATTCCATCAGTGAGATAGTATGCCAAATTATACTCCCTTCCTTGGACTGAAAAATTAACTGCTGGAGTCGACCTTATATTATATCATCAAACACGGGTGAGCGTTCAAGAACATTTATATCTTTTAGAGTACCTGGAGGCCCAAAAAACGCATGCCATATCCAAAGATCATATGACGCTACTGCCTCTAAAACGATTGTGGGTTTTCCGGAACCACGTGAATACTGTCCTTTCCAAGCAGTAGGGCAATTCTTCCACTCCCAATGCATACAGTCGATGCTCCCGATCATTCCAGGAAATCCGCGTTCCTCTCCCCAATAAAGTAAGCGTTGAAGATCCTCCGGTGTAGGTCTTCTTAAGTACTCATCACCAAACAAATTTATTATTCCGTCGACAAAATGTTCCAAACATTTACGAGTAGTAGTTTCACCTAGCCGGAGATATTCATCTACCGCATCAGCAGCACTACCATATGCCAAGATACGGATGGCTCGGTACATTTTTGAAGTGCAGAGAGACCAGGTCTTCCTAGAGCATCTTTCTTCTGACGAAAGTAACGATGCTCGTTGGAAAGTTTTTCAACAATCTTCAAGAACAATGGTTTGTTCATCCTAAAACGCCGTCGGAATAAATTTGTAGGGTATGTTGACGGCTCATTAAAATAATCGTTCTATAAACGATTATGGCCTTCTTCACGTTGTCTTTCAATATAAGCCCGTTTCTTTCTTGCTCTCGGTTCCTCCATTTGTTCTTCATACATAACGCAGAGATTTTCATATGTTTGATCATATACATCATCAAACATTTGATCTAAATCATCATCAAGTGATCCATGAAGAGGATTATTGGAAGAGGAAGCCATAAAAGGTGTTTGGTTTTGTAAGTAGAATTGGTAAAGTAATGTGAGAGAATGAAAAAACAAGGAGAAGGAGAATGAAATAAGCTTAGTGAAGATGTTGGTTTGATACAATTTCCGTTTGCACTCTATAAATAGAGTCTACATACAAGATTTGTGGTCGTTACATTACATGGAATTTGTGGTCTAAAACTTACATAAGAAGAAAACAAAATGAAATCCATTATTGAAACAAAGAAATGACAATAATGCTCGTGGCTGTCTTTGTAGTGTTGTGCCCACTAGAATGCTCGTGACTCTCTTTGTAGTGTTGTGCTCACTAGATGCCTCGTGAATGTCTTTGTAGGGTTGTGCCTGCTTCTTTTAACTTCCTGAAACACTAAACCCAAACATCAAAGACAGTAAATGAGCAAATACTTTAAGGAAAAGAAAACCATAGTGCTTTCATTAAACATACAATAACTTAAGTACAACCACTTAAGTTCCAAACATGATAGCAAAGTCCTAAACAAAAGATCCAAACATGAAATAAAAATACAACTGAAGCATGAAATGAAAATACATCATAATAAACTTCATTACTAAGTCTTAATCCATAACCAAAACTTCAGTAACTTATGACTGAAGAAACAAAAAAAACAAGCTGAACCACCATCCTACTCCATCAGATCAGCGATCAGCTTCAGCTTGAATGCTTCCTCTGTGTCAGAAAGCGGTTCCGGCTTAGCAAGGAGTCTCTCAAGCACCGCCATTTTGGAAATGGCTTTCTTCTCAGCTAAGTCTTTAGCCTTGACATCTGCCATTGTCCGAAAGTCTTCTAGTACAGCCTTCATGTCCATAATTGTTTTCTTTGCCTTTGCTTTAGCCGCTTTAACACCAATGGGTCGTTTGCTCTTATTTTCTGCGTCGGAAGCCGTCTGTTCATCCGCCATACCGGTTGGTGATTGAGACCCATCAACCCTTTTCTTCCTTTTGTTGGTTCCCTCCGCTTTGCTTGATGAATGGGTTATCCACTTCTGATCCCACCTCAGCTCCTTCCACGCATGTTCCAGCGTGAACCTTTTCTTGTGAAGGTTAAAAAAAATTTCATGAGCTGCTTTGAGAATGTCATTCTCATTCTGACCAGATGTCTTCTCCCTTGTTGCGGATTCATAAGCTCCCACGAACTTGCAAACCAAATCATTTATCTTCTGCCATCGCTGCTTGCACTGAATTGCATCTGGATGATCAGAAGACTTGGAACTGGCCGCATAAAACACAGAAATTCTTTTCCAGAAAGACCCTGCTCGCTGCTCATTGCCCACGATGGAGTCTTTACTTGTGTTTAACCACGAGCTTATCAGCAGAACATCATCTGCTGGGCTCCAAGTCTTCCGTTTGGCCTTCTGTTCTTCAGCCGAGGCTTCCACCACCGCAGGCATCTCTTCACCAAGACTGGACGCATAACCGCAGAACACTCCATCCTGCTGGCTGTTGAGAAGATCAACGAAGTTGGTGTTGGGGGAAAAGGGAATCTGCGAAGAGTATTCCATGGAAAAGATGACAAAGGAAAGAGAATGAGAGGAGTGGAAACAAATAAGGAGATGAATGAGAATGAGAGATTAGGAAAAGGAGAAAGGTGTACAGAAATAAAAGAAGAAAAGATCTTGTAGATGGAAGAGAAGCAAATATGGAATAGAGAAGGTTTTAAGGATGGAAAGAAGCAAAGAAGTAAGAAAAAAAAAGGAATAAAGGATCGGCTGGATTTAATTCTATGCTTCTCAAGAATATGCATTGAATAACAAAAGCAAAACAGCATTCAAGTGTTTACTTAATATCTATCTCTACCTAAAGAGCATTCAAGCTTAATGAGTAGACATATATCTAACTCTAAACACCAAATCTAACCAATAAAGCATTAATTACCATCAACAAATCAATTCACCTTCCTCACTAAATAGCATTGAAGTTTTTCTTTACCATTAACACCAACCAACCATGAACTAAACTACAGTTCTAGGCAGATGAAACATTCAATGTATGAATCAATAAATCAAACATCACTTCCACGAAGATGAAAGGGAAACAATACATCAAACTTGTTTTACAATTGTTATATCCAAGATCAATTCCAATTTTCGACCACTACAACATTCAAATAACATCTACCAATCAACCAGCCGATAACAAGCTCATCATAGATATAAACTCTTCATTCCAAAATTGAAACCGATATAAAGTTAAATCCTCCATGCCTAAACTAATTCATATGCTCTGATTGAGATTAGGTGATGGAGACTTAGCTTATTTATGTGTCGAATCGGTGGACATGCAGAGAACTCTGATGACTCGACTTCCACATGACGATTATGTGGATTCTTCGCCGTTTCGGACAGGAGGAGAAGGACAAGACGGACGGTGATGACTCGATTTTCCAGGTGTCCATTATCGACGACGATGAAGAGAGAAGAAGATAGGTCGAGATGCACAAGTTCTGCCATGACTCGATTTTTCTCTCAAAATTTTTTTTTTGAAAGGTCGAGATGCAAACGATGAAGAGAGAAGAAGATAGCCACGTTTTTTTTAGCAAATCATGTAATGCCAGGCGTACAATTATGATCGATTCTCCAGGCCCGAAATAAAGATCGTTTTTTTCATTTTTGGGCTTTAAATCTTTTATTTTAAATCAAAAAGACCTCAAAACCCATAACTAGAGTCTGCGATAATGATGCTCTTAAAGCTTTGGTTCAACTGATATCTAGTAATCTAGACTTTAATATTCAAGAAAAAAATATATTATGGATAATATATTTTTGTTATCGCTTTCTTTTATTGATTTAATAGAATTGGGATAGAAAACTTTATATTATATGTATATTAACATCATTTTAAGATTACCACTATACATATGCTCGAAAGACTATAATTTTATATCACACAACTCAACACAATTCAACAATACTCTAATTTATTATTTTTCCACTGTAAAAAGAAACTCGAGCCATAGCCTGAATCAACATAACAAATCTTCAACCAATGTGATTTGTTGTTAACTCTTGAAGAACTGGCCATGCAATCATTTATTCTACTAATTTTATGACTAACAAAATAAAGGAGGAGGAGAAACCGATGACAATAATAGTCGATAACTCGAGCGAGAAATACATTACAGAGTAGAGACAAAAGAACAACAAAATCGATTTAATTTATGCATCTCTTCTCCCCATTTTTTGTGTGAAAGAGAAAAGTGAAATGATATTAGTTGACTAAAAATCCCTAAAATTGCGGGAAATGAAAAGGACAAGAGAATAAGTATCCTTCACGTGACAACCACTCACACTGCCCCACCAGTACACTGAAGCTTTGGAAAGGGCCACTAGCCCATTATTATCAAGGCCCATTTTCTGACCGTCCACCGAAAACACTAACAATGTTAATCTCCACCATTAAATCCTTAAATCAACAAAACACTCTCATTTGTCTTTTCTCCAACTTTGTAACGAAATTGTAAATATTTTAAGATTTTTATTTGACATAAAAGAGGCTAAGAGTATAAATTAAGGCCTAACCTTATACTATGCCACTTTACAGGAAAAAGAATGTGAGAAGGCTAATGGGATAAATGCAAATCTGTAGGCTTTGGTCACACTACTCACTAATTATGGAATTATGCAATTTATTGAATAATAATTTAGGATAAAATAAACTAAGAAAAAATTAACCAAAAATATTTTGTTTTGAAAACACTCGTATCAAATTTAACATCCTTCATATTCACTGATTTGTATGACTATTGACTAATTAAAAAAAAAAGTGGATTCTTGTTATTTCAAAGATCACTAGTCGAAGCAATTATGTTCAACAACCTCCTTTTGTTTCTTACATGTTTTGTTTTGGTAAAACTAAAATACACAAGTGAAGGACCTCTTTTTTTTGCTAAGAAGAAGTGAAGGAGATTTGTAAACAAGGACGTAAACAAACCAAAGAAACGTGGGGGAAATTCGCGGCGGAGATTAGGGATCCGAAGAAGAACGGAGCTAGGGTTTGGCTCGGGACTTACGAGACGCCGGAGGACGCGGCGGTGGCTTACGACAGAGCTGCGTTTCAGCTAAGGGGATCCAAGGCTAAGCTTAATTTCCCACATTTGATTGGCTCTTGTAAGTATGAGCCGGTTAGGATCAGGCCTCGCCGTCGCTCGCCGGAGCCGTCTGTCTCCGATTACTCATCGCCGGAGCAGAAGAGGATTGGCCACGTGGGAGACGGGTTCGATTTGGATTTCACGATGAACTCCGAATCCGATGGAGGTTTATTGACGGATCAATCGGCATGTTCGTTTTCTGATAGTCGTGAATGATGAATTAAGCGATGTTTTGATCATAATGTAATGTCTTTGGAAAATCAATGTGGGCGTTTTTTTTTTTTGGTTATTCTGAATTCGATTTATATACTCTAACAAGTTGAATGAAAAAAAAAAAAAAAAAAAAAAAAAACCAAAGAAACGCCTTATTTATAAACCTAGAAGTGCTTATCCACGATTCGTAGATCTTTATTTCAAAGATCACTAGTCGAAGCAATGTTCAACAATCTCCTTTTTATCTCTTACACAAGTGAAGGACATCTTTTTTTTTGCTAAGAACAAGTGAAGGAGATTTTTTTTTTGATAAAATGTTAAGAAAGTGAAGGAGATTTGTAAACAAGGACGTAAAAAACGAAAGAAACGCCTTATTTAAAAACCAACAAGTGCTTATCCAACAATTTGTAGTTATATTATATAATAACCACTATAAACTAACCATAAAGAGATTGTTCCATCATCTTCTTGGTAAGCTTAGCAAGTGATGAAAGATTATAGCGAGTAATGGTATCGACAAACAATATCGTATCTTCCTCGCTATTTCCTTCGGGCACATCCACCGCATAACTCTCCACCACCACCGTCTTCTCTTTCTCATCTTCCTCCGGCGACGACGCAACCACCTTTGTCTTCGATCTGTAGTTAACAAGTCTCTGGTTACCACCAATGATACTTACCACCATTACGTGAGACTCATCGTCTAGTTTGTCGAGCCTCTCCGTGCTGAAATCCCCTGGAACACCGGAGACCAACTTCACGTCTCGAACGGAGCCTTCTCCTCTCTCGCCATCACCATCGTTACGAATGGTGCAACTCTTCACGAAACGTTTGTAAGCTTGTGGTTTGTCGAAACGACGTAGTATTGACCACACTAGTGGCAGTGGTGCTTCGATGGTCTCAATTACGGTAGAACGGCATCGTTTTTTGGTCAGAACTTTCCATTTTCTGTTTCTTTTAAAAATACTTTTGTCTTTTAACTGATTTATTAGATGTTTGGTGTATAGCTTAGAATTTTCGCATGACTTGTTAATTTCAAAAGCGTATCGAAGGAGCTATTTATAAATGAAGGCAAAAACCGACTATAAATTATTTATATATATATATTATATTGTATAATTACGAACATGTTATGTGAAACTTTTGTGTTCCATTTGGATTCCTCTTACTATATACTAACAAAAAAGATAGCGTAACACTACTGAATCGCATGCTGATAAATAGATTGTTACATTAACTAAACAATTGCTAATTTGTCAAATTTATTATACTGAATATATAGTACCTCTTCACTCTTCACTAACTGCGAATATATATGGGTAACTGGCAAGATTGGATTTCTACTATCCAAGACGACTTACGGGACATGTAATTAGTTTTTTTTTTTGTAATTTGTTATTTTTATATACATGGATATTTTATTTGAAAAAAGAGTTTAAGAAAATCATTAAAAAGATTATGTGTTACAGTTTCACTCATATTCTTACCGATACATTTTTTACTATCTTATAAATATAGCATCTCTAACTATTGTCATTTACCATAAATAAATCTTCAATTTTTGCCATAATTATCAAATCATCATTTTTGTTAAAAGTTTATCAGATTCCTGATATATATATCTGAGTCCGAATTTTAATTTGGCGAATCCAATAATTTTTTTGGAGCTCACAGAACATAATCCTGATGAGCTCGTATCTCGACGAATGTTTTCTTTTAGTTTATCAGTCCAAGTAAGGTATTTGGATCGACATACCGACATAGTTCCAATTGCAGTATTTACATACATGACATGATTTTGTTCATTTCTTAACATAAAGTTATGCAATCATGGCGTTAAAAAATATTAACTATACGCAAAGACATCCACAAAATAAATTAAAAAATTAGAACTAGCGTAATAAAAAATGTTTATGAACAAATATACTAATTTTAACTCACTAACTAAATGCAAGTAGTGATTCTTATTTATTGAGGAGTAGTCATATATAAGTCTAGACTATGTATAATTTAGAGATTAATTATCCGCAAACGGAAAATTATTTAATAACTTTTATTTGACTATTCGAAATAGTACCATATTTTATATTTATTAAAAAGTGAATGATTTATTCGACGAAGTAAAAAAAATTAGTTGGCTGGTAAAATTTTGGCTGGTAAAATTAATACCTTTTTTTTTTTTTTTTTTTTTTTTTTTGCTTGTTAAAAAAACCAAAAACGTTAACTCACTACAAAAGAGAAAAAATCTTTCACTTATTAATTACTTTCTCTTTTGCACTATTTGATTACATATGTATTTAAGTGTGTTCTTCGTAACTCTATGAAAAACTGTGGGCTGTATTCAAAGGACAGCAGAATCCTGAGGGTTGGTTCGCAACAGAAGTTACTGCAACTTTTTTTCGGTTTATAGTTCTTCTTCTTCTTTTTCCCCTGGTTTATTTGGTTAAAGCCTAAAGGTTATTTTATATGTATATTATTTATTTATAAAACTAAAGGTTTAGAAGTTGCACACGTATATACATATAATAAGTATATCGTTCATTTGTAAACTATGCAGTAAACCTAAATATTATAAAACTTTGTCCTTATATTTAGGAACTTTCCAAGGGCTAAATATAGACGATATTCACACCCAGATGCACGCAACTGGATTCATAGACAAATTAAAGATGCATCTTTTTTTTGTAATGAATGTTACTGGTTTTTTTTTTCAACAACTGGTTTTCTTTCTTCGTTACTCGCAAGTCATAAATTCTGTTTTTTTTTTCTTTTTTATCAAAAGAATATACAAATATCTTTGACAAATGATTAAATATTCTGCTAAAGTGACAAAAAAATTCCAAAATTCCATGTATCACTCGCGTGCTTGCATATTGCTCTATGGAATGGAGCCAAAATACTCAGAAACGATGTTGCTTATATATGTTTATCTAATCGGTCTAATTTGGAAGTTTGTTGCAGCTATGTTTTGAGAGCGACATACTTTGCCCTCAAGCTATATCATTTTAATCCAAAAGCACAGTTTTTTCCTGTAATTAAGCAAAACGTTTAGTCGCTAACAATTTTTTGTTACAAGGAGCTAAATTGTTTGCCGACGAGAGTAAAGGAAAGAATTTAAATTCATTTTATTTTCTTCTCAAAATTAGACCTTGGGTCTATTGCCTACATTAAAACGAACGCCCAAAGAGCCCTGTCTAAGCCTAAAATCTAGTGATAATAGTGTCTATGTTTATATACTCAGCCGGTCAATCACAAGCCAAGAAATTTTATATTATCTACTCATGAAAATCTAATGTAACTCATTTCAAAGTTTTACACATACATGAATTTCAAAATGATTTCGTTTGAGTAACACTATTTTAAAAATTCCTAAAGCATGAGTTTTAAATGAGTTGACCAAAAAATGAGTTCAAAAGATAACTGAGAGGAACAAACAAAAGATTTTCATACAAAATTGATAATCTCTAAATTGTGATCTTCTGTTAATTTTCTTTTTCTTCAAAGTATTTGAATTAAGTGAGTGTAAGTCATGTTGGACTTAAGATTCAATAACACAAGGCATATTTCATACATAATTTAGAATAGACTATTGAATATCTTTGAATTATGTTTGGATTTCTATTTTATTGAAATTTAGATTGAATACACCCTTTAAAAGTCACGTTCCTCTTCTCTTAGAAATCTTAATCCTCATGCCCTCATTTGACATGATTCGATGAAACCAAGAGATGGTTGCAAGTAAATCAGAGTTGATAACAACTATGACAGATTATTAAAAAAAAACTTCCGGTTTGTACTAATGGGATTGTTCGTAACTCATGAATCTATTTTTATAAACAGTGTTTTAGATCCTGCAGTCTGCAAGGTCATGACACATTATCAAAACTTATATTTCATGACACCTCGACGTTAACAAATATATATAAGTTCCATAATTTAACATTTTCAACATTTTAGAGAATAAAAAAAATTATGACCTTCTCACCCTAATTAGTAATTAATTCAAAAACTTTGGAGAAAAAAGAATTTTGAAGTCGGATGTTCTTGCTTTTCATTTCTTCCATTTGATAGTAAGTCGTTAAGCAGAGAAGAACAAATAATATGATCGAGCTAGTGGAAGGAAAGTTGAAGAAAATAAATAAAGTTAAGGAATTGAGATGAAGGCCAATGGTGCTGAGTTTGGCGGGAGGCAAAGGGTTCAAAGCGAAAACTGAAACATTAATAACATTTAACATTTTTTACAACCATCACTCTGATATTTTTTTTCCTTCCATTAATTCATTTTTCTGTTTTTGATGAAAGTCCGATTTCTCATCGTTCGTTAATTGTATAAAATGATTCCTGTTTTTAGAGGAACCTATATGACGAATTGACGATGCATTAATTTGTGGGCGTTATGGATACGGGTCGGATCGGAAAACATGTTCTGAAATGGATCACCCTAAGAATTTCAAAGTAATTCGGCTATAAATATAATGCATTTCAACTAAACTTCTCTCCATCATGGATTATAATATAAACACACAAATATACAAATGAAAAAAAAACCCGTGCATAAATATATGTACATCTAGTAACATATAAAGAAACAGGGCAATTTGGAATTGTATAAAAATCAAGCTTATCCTAACCATCCTAGCTAATATTCCTAGCAGACTCAGGCGAACATTATTAAATACTATGGACCTATGGTCTATGTCTCATGTATAGCTACATATACATATACATTCATTTAGGTATTGGTATTTTGTGACAAATACATGCACAAATTTGGATGCGTGTATGCATATATATACATAGAAGTATTGTTTAATTATATGTATACAGTATACATAAAAGAAATATTATTTACCTACTTGTGCAGCTTAAATGTGTACCATATTATAATACATCATGATGCATGCAACGTACAGAAAATGTTATGTCATTAAAATATACATTCGCAATTGGGACACACTCTAGCTAATAGCTAATACTACAAAAAAAAAACTACATTTCCTGATACCGAATTAGTATAAATAATACACACGCATGTATATATTGGGTTATTCCGAGAACCCAAGATTAGGGTTAATAATGACAGTAGAAAATCAGGAAATTTCATGGAACCACTATTAATAAACCAATATTTTGAGGTTTGTGGTCTATTAGTTATTCAGAGAGAATTAATTATTCCAACTAAAAAAGATCTGATGAAACTTTCATTTTTTTTAAAAAAAAAAAGAAGAAAAGAGAATTTAAAAATTGATTACCTATATTGGAAATTTTAATATGATTAAATATCAAGTGGAAGGCTGATTATGAGCCGAAGAGTTTGCAACATCCAACTTGAGAGCAACGCCGTCGTTTTGAAGCTTCCTCCTCTTCTTCTTCCTGTAGGGAATCCCACGAGCCTTGGCTTGAGATTCTCTCACTTCCCTCAAGTGAATCCGGATCGACCCGTTTGCAAACGGGTTAGTATCCGGTGATCCGCCACCGTGTTCTTCGTAAGCAGCTCTCAACCGTCCGATCAAAGCATCTAAGCTTCCCCAAGCTTGTTTGAGAGGACACGTGCACGGTCCTGGTGGATCTGGTTGTCCGTAGAAGACACAAGCTTGTTGATGTACTTTGGTTTTACCGAACTGATCTAAGTACCTGAGGAAACTTAGCACGTGCGTGTAATCGAACTGAGACATCATCAACGGTGGATTCTGCGATTTTAGGTATTGGATGAACGTGTTCCAGTCGCGGCGTTTCTGCGACTCGTAGCGGCTGAGCGGTTGCTGCGGTTGCGGTTGTGGAGGAAGCGGTTGCTTGTGGTGGTTGGAGGAAGAAGATGGATGATCCGGTGGATCTTTCGTCGGTGTGTGATGATCCGTAGACATAATTAATAAATTAGGCGAATTCTGATATTTTGTTGTTGTTGTTGTTGTTATTGTTGTTTTGGTATAATTTTTTGGGTTTATGAAGCAAATAGAAGGTTTAAAAGCGACAATAAAGTAAAGGGAAATTAAGAAAGATCAGATACGAGAAATAATGGAACGAGGAGATAAATTATTGTAAGTATTTACGAAAAACATGATTACTATATAGTATTAATATGTTTATATACACATAAAGTGACAATAAATGTTTATCATTTCATGCGAATATGAAAATTCTTATCTTTTTATTTATTTATTTGAAAACCATGCATGATATCACTAATTAATTTATTGAATCAATTTTTAAGCATTAATGTTGAATACAATGTTTTTTTTGTTTAGAAGACAATTTCCTTACTTAATTTTTGAAAGTAATCATTGTAAAGCAGAAATTTGTAAATTTGAGATTTATATCTACTAATTTCTGAGATAATGTGAAAGCTTTATTGTTTTTGGAGAACAAATATTTATATCTTAATGAAGGTTTGAAAATTGAAGAAAATCTACTTCATGAGATTATTTTATCCCTTTTTTCATATACTAGTAGGTTTTAGAGATTGTTTTTTGTTATTTTTATGCTCACACGTTACTT